TTCAAACGTCATGAAAAGAAGGCTTTTGGATTGATTGCAACTAATGTCGATGAAGCCAACTTCTTATATATTATTTCTTGCAAAGGACTAGCGAAAGTATGGAAGATTCTTTGCAACATCTATGAGAGCAAGAACTTATCCAACATCATCTATATAAGAAAGAAGTTCTTCACTTGTAAGATGGAAGAAGGTGAAGACCTCATGGCTCATGTCAATAACATAAAGACTCTTACAAATCAATTAGCAATTGTTCAGAAGCCTTTAGAAGAAAGTGATATTGTCATGACCTTGCTTATAAGCCTGCTCAAATCTTATAACTACCTTGTTGTGGCATTGGAGTCCATTAAGTTAAAAGAGCTTACATTGGACTATGTGACGACAAGACTTGTCCGTGAAGTAACCAAAAAGAAAGAAAAGGAGCTCCAAAATAAAGATTCAGCACTCTACTCATGTCAAGGCAAGGGCAACTATCCAAATCAACTAGGTAATGTCAAATCTTGCTTTATTTGTAGCAAAGTATGCCATTTTGCTCGAAATTCCTACAAAGGCAAAAAGGTAGAGAAGAAGAATGTAAATAGTACATAAGATGAGTTTGGAGGACAAGATTATGCATTCACAGCAACAAATGGGACCTCTATGGCTGCTATATCAAGATGGATTGTGGATTCCGGTTGTTCCAAGCATATAATACCTTATAAGTGTTCATTTGACACTTATGAGGCTATTCCAGCATCAAACATGGTATTGGCAGATAGTGGCACATGTGAAGCCATTAGAATTGGCTCTATTATGGTAGAGGTGGTTGTGAATGGACAAACGAATAGGATCAGATTCAAAAACGTTCTTTATGTACCTAAGATAAAGCAAAACCTACTTTTGATCAATAAACTTATAATAGAAGGTTTCAAAGTTTAATTTGACATGAATGGATGTTTTGTAAGAACATTAAGTAGAGAGAAGATCTTCAAAGGCTTAAAAGAGAGAAATTTATACTATCTCATTTGTAAGAAGGTGAATAGAGTGGATGTAGCTGTATTTGCTGAGTTTACATCAAACCAAGACAAGTTGAATATATGCCATTGTCACCTTGGCCATTTGAATGTGAAGAGCATGAGAGAGCTCAAGTCTATGGTAAGTGGCTTAGATTTTAGCAATATAAGCCAAAATGCAAAACAACTTGTATATGAAGCATGCATACAAGGCAAACAACAAAAGGCCTCATTTCCAAAGAATGAAGCAACATGTGCTACCAAGTTATTAGAGATTATCCATTCTGATGTATGAGGACCTATGAAGAACACAAGTATTGGAGGATCAAGGTATTTTTTCACTTTCATTGATGATTATTCAAGAAAGATTTGGATCTACATTCTTAAAGCCAAGAGTGAATGCTTTTAGAGGTTTAAAGAGTTTAAAGCACTTGTTGAGAAACAAAATGAATGTAAGATCAAGGTGCTGCGTACGGACAATAGAGGTGAGTACATGTCTAAGCAATTTGATGTTTATTTAAAGAATGAAAGAATTGCTAGACAAACCACAACTCTATATAGTCCACAACAAAATGGTGTTACTAAAAGGATAAATCGAACCATTATAGAGATGGCAAGGAGCATGCTTCATGTGCAAAACCTTAGCTATGAATTTTGGACAGAAGCTATAATGAATGCAATGTATATAAGAAATAAGTATCCAACAAGTGTTCTTGCATCAATGACACCACAAGAAGCTTGGAATGGGAGACAATCTTGCATTTCCCATATAAGGACCTTTGGTTGCATTGCATATGCAAAAACACCAGATCGTATGAGGTCCAAACTTGATGCAGAGGATACAAAGTGTGTGTTTCTTGGTTATTGTGAAGGTACTAAGGCATATAGGCTAATGTGCTTGGAAACCAAGAAGTTCATTAAAAGTCGTGATGTTGAGTTTTTGGAGCACAAGAGTGCTTGTGAGCACTTGGAGATGTGTCCAAGTGGGAGTAATGGTGTGTTTGTGGACACATCTTTGAATTTAGCAAAGAAATAAGAAGATGAAGGAATATGAGATGAGTGATTTGGAAGAGTTGTACTATTGTTTGGAAGTGGAATTTGTAAGAGATCGTGGTAACAAGACCATTACAATGAGCCAAATCAAATACATTAAAGAAGTATTGAAACGATTCAATATGGAGGAGTATAAGTCCATTGAAACACCCTTAGAGGTAAATTTGAAGTTGATGAAGTTCACGGATGAAGAGTTTGCATAAGTTGAAGGTGAGATGCAAAGTATTCCATACAAGGCAGCAATAGGCTCACTCATGTATGCAATGGTGGCCATAAGAATGGATCTTGCATATGTAATGAGTGTTGTAAGCCAACACATGTCTAAGGCTAGAATATTACATTAGACAATGGTAAAGAGGATATTGAGGTACTCAAAAGGTACAAAGGACTTCAAGTTGTGCCTGGGTGGTAAGAACATTAATTTGCAAGGTTATTGTAATGCGAATTGGACTAGAGATGCAAATGATAGAAGATCCACAACGGGATATGTCTTCTTCATTGAAATGGGAGCTATTTCATGGAATTACAAGAAACAACCTATAATTACATGATCAATGATGGAGGCAGAGTACATGACAGCAAGTCATTGTACAATGGAGGCGTGTTGGATAAGACAACTCTTAAAAGACATTGAACTAGTGCAATTAGAAGCAACTCTAATTATGTGTGACTATCAAGGATGTCTTGCATTTGCCAAGAATCCAAAACACTATTCAAGGACCAAGCACATTGATATTCAACATTATTTCATATGAGAGAAGATTGAAGATGGAATAATAAGTATGAAGTATTGTGCTACAAATGACATGCTTGCTGATGTGCTTACAAAGGCATCAGTGAAGGATAGACATCATGAGTTGATGTAGAGATTAGAATTGAAAGCCTTTTGAAAATTAGCAAAGTGGGAGTATTGAAGATCAGCAAGTACTTGCTTAGTTACAACTACATAGAGATTAAGCATAGTATGTTGCTAATAATCAAAAGGCAGCAAAGACTTAAAAGAAGTTACCATGGTGGCACCAAGGATTTTATAGGTGGCGACTAGGTTAAGAAAGAACCTAGGGTTTAGTTGGATGAAGTAGAAATGGAAGTAATATCAAAAAGATGGAAGTTGCCTCGTTGGTTAGCAAACCACCATCTATAAGTAAAGAGTGTTGGAAGTAAGAATCATCTTTCTCCACACTTCTCTTAGAGTGCAATCTTTGCTGATGCTAAGTATTTGTAGCTTTTACACTTCTTTTCTTCAATATTTTTGTGTAATAAATGTATACTTATGATCATATCTTGATATTTAGGAACTTATAAATATGAAACAAAACAATCACAATCATTCCAATAGACAAGACTTTCAAAGATCATGACTCCATAGAAACTTCACAAATAATCCTATATGAAAACTTCAATGTTTTATTACATCTAACACCCACCATGCATTATAACCTCAAATTTTCCATCTCATCTCAAATATCTTTTTCTTTGTTTGTGTATGAAAATATGTATATATATATATATATATATATATATTATTTATTTATTTATTTATGGGAATGTTAAATAGATCCAAATTTTTACAAAATTGACCCACCCATCATAACCATCATTGAAAAAAAAAAAAAAAAAAAAAAAAAAAAATCTCTAAATTCATTTCTTCACTATTGGATTTGCAACCAATAGAAACCACACATTCATCATGATTACCATATTCTTCATCAAAATGAGTTGATTTAGTAAAAGCATGGATCTATTTAACATTCCCTTTCCCTTATATTATATATATGTACGAACATACGTAAAGTCACTCAGAATGAGCTTCCCCAACAACGATCTGTACAATTGACTGCGAATGCTGAACGCTCGTTGAAGTGGATTAGGGTTTGTTGTTTGTAGTGTGGTGGCATTGTTTTGAGAACATCCTGATTCATCGATGCGGACGAGCTGCACCTCCCCACCACTCGCCATCACCGGCTCTCGCACTCCGCGGTTGGCTTCTCGGTTCCATAGCTCCACTAGGGGCAGTGACTGGCAACCCCTGTGGCGACGAGATCGGTGGTAGAATAACAGCCCTCTCTTTGACCGGAAACACAGAAACCGGGAGGTGTAGCACTTTCGAGTCTTGAGCTCCCGTGTTTGCTCCGAGGAACGACAGCGACAATTAGGACGACGACGACGACATCAGCAGCAGCAGCTACAACAAGAGCTACAACTTGTCGGTGGTAATGCTGATGCGCATGCGGCGTCTTCGGAAGACCGCTCCATTCTGCCCCCTTGCAGCAGCAGCACTATGTCAAAGGTGACTCCCGGATGAAGGGTAAAAGCGCAGCTTCTCGTACGATCTTATGTGCAAATGAGCTTCGAAAATGTACGAAGCGAAACGTGCTACTGTGAGAATTTGACCTGTTTCTTTCTCACGCGTTGGAATAAAGGAGGGTTTTGCATGTGGCCAGGGTGTAAATGCCCTTGTATAAGTAGTGAATATCTTGTTCATTGTTATCAGAGGTAAGTCACGTTTTATAGTTTCAAAAAAAAAAAACAAAACAAAACAAAACAAAAAAATCAAACAAACAAACAAAAGAAAAAGAAAAAGAAAAGAAAGAACGATTTTTGTTTACTTTAAGGAAAGAGGCCTTTGATTGTCACTCCATTTAATTACGCAATAATTTTCCATATTACTTTTTGTGATTCTAACAAAACTCCATTATCAGAGGTAATTGTTTCTTCTCTTGTAACAGTGGCTCTTTTTCGAATCGAAATGCACTTACAGCATTGTAGCATTCACATATAAATATAATATATATATATATATATATATATACACTAACACACACACATAATCAATCTACCACCACTGCTAGTAGATATTTTTGAGCAAAATTTGATGTAGTACTAGTTGATTGAAATTGTGATATATATATATATATATATTTAGCGCGAAGAAAAGCATTGCTCTTCCACGCTTGATGTCGACTCCATATTTGAACAGGAAATTGTCACCGAAGCCTGAAATTTTAACAGAACTTGTAAGTGGTTTTCCAGAGATGAGACCACTGGCTTTGTCTTTCGGACTAGCCTTTTGCAAATAGTCTACTCCTCTAGAGTTTCTCTCGACCTCTCTCTCTCTCTCTCTCTCTCTGCCTATCTATCCGTATGAGTATGTGTGGACCTGTGTGGGTCTCTTCTCATCTGAAGATGAAGGACAATAATGCAATTCTCTGGGGAACCGTTTATACGATTTTTATTGCTAATTCACTGATCATCTCATTCGTTACGAGGAGTTTCAACCTTTCGTCTCCAACAGGGACGGAGGGTGACCTGAGGCTCCTTCGGCTGACTGGCACCAAGCGACCAATATTCTTGATAAGCGTATTCCAAGAATATCGAACTCGGTTGACCGGTTTATGTTTCACAAAGATGAATAATGAAGTTGTGTGTACAGGTCATGTTGAGTCAATTCCGCAATCCTTGTATTCCGGAGTATTCTAGACTGTCGTTGTTCTTTCTCCCTAGCATTATCTCCTTTGTTGTCAGGTGCTTTGGGAGTCTGCCGAACGTAATTGTCATAACTTCAGCAGTGATTCCGTATGTCGAAGAGAGCTCTGACGTACATCCGGTGATCGACAACAGAGGAAAATATTAACTGAAATTGTTTAAAAAGGATGTTATGGAAGTTAATGCCAGGGGAAGACTTCAGATAGTCATTCTCAAACCCCCCACTTATCTGCAATGGTCCATCTGTCGTCAGAGAGCTAACGTAAAACGGGACTTCTTGCTAGCCACCTACTCAAAGATCATGGACAATCTCGCTCTCTCTAGCCCTCTCGTCTCATTACTTATTTCTGTGGACCACCCTTCATTCCTCGACATTGATACCCTGCTTTTATGCTTCAGCTACTCCCTTTCTCCAGCTCCGAATTCGATGCTGTATGGAACACAGTCGTAGACATCTCACCTAGATGTATCCAACTCTTTGGGTGCACCAGAGAAACATTTTGTGAGCTGTAGTCAGTTAGGAATTATGGATCAGAAAAAGTGGTTGGGCAGTCTTATCATATGTGTTCACTGACGATAGTGACGAGGAGACCCATATGGCGGTGTCTCGATGCTCAGTTCCCGACTAGATTTTTGGGACGACATCGGTTGTGTAGTTCGTTATGTGGATGCTGGAGTCTTCTAACGGTGAGAGCACTAACAAGGAAGTGGTGAATAGGTTTGACAACAAGAACATGGTGGTGGAAGTTGTTAAGAAGACGAGCAGCACCAGCGGCAGATTTGATATGTTGACCGACATAGATTTATCTGTGAAGCTCGACGAAGACAATGTCGATGAGGACAAGAAAGTGGAAAAAGGCGAGCATAAAAAAAACCCTCAAATTGGACAGGATCATCAGATGTGTGGCACCAAGTATGATGAAACCAGAAGTCCTGCACCAAATTTTCGAAGGATACGGCAGCAACATGAGAATGGGTATGCCTTTAAGTGCAAAGTTGGAGGCCGTGGAAGTGAATTTAGAGAGAGAGCTCAATTGTTAACCCGTGGAGCCGAGCCTTCAAGTGTGGAGGACGAATCACCACCCTCTTCTCCTGCTGGACCAACCGCTTCTGTTGCCACTCATCTCAGAGACGAGGTAACGCATCTCTTTACCTGTCAGAACTTTGCTTCCCAATCAAGTGCGTTACCAAGTGATTCAGCTTCTCTTAGAATGAAGTGAATGATCTTGTTTCAACACCCAGCAGAAACTTTGGTTCGCTGAATACCAATTGGCGTCGTGAAAGGCCTACGATTATTGTAGTCAAGCGGTGAGTGAGGGAAACATTGTTTATTGCAACATGAATGTAACCACTGACCAGGGTTTCCCCATCAAATTGCAGCTAATGGCAGCACGCACGGAAATCACCCGCCTGAGTGAAGAAAATGATCGTTTCCGGTCCATGTTAACGCAACTTTCGACGGAGTACCGCAATCTCCAGATTCATGTGGTCGCTTCAATGCAACGGAGCAGCGACACTTTGAATAATCAAGTTCAAAGTCCCCAGAAACAGGTAGCACACCAGTCCCGATTCATTAACAATACATGTCCCAACACTTTTTCCTCAGTTGAATTTGTCATCGCCACCCTTCGCACATAATTAAGCTCATACCGTTTCAAATATATGTGTGTGTGCATATAGATATATATATATATATATATATATATATATGATTCGGTTCTTGAGTTTCCATCTATATGATCCAAATGAGGAGAAAGGTTACACCATGCTACAAATTGGTCATAAACTGGCCAATAACCAATCTCGTATGCAAGGATAAGTGGACAATTTGCGCATGTAAGTAGATTTGCACAGCTTAGGACTTTGTTCAAAGCCTGTCAGATCCTGAAAAAATTGTTTCCTACTGATATTTGACTCTGTCGGTAAAAACAAACGCAAACCGGTTTTCCTCTTTGTCCTTTTTTTCTATCTTTTTTTACGTACCGCCCACTGTCCCACTGTACCATCTCGCTTCACTTTAAAATATACTTCACTAACAGATAATTGTTGACTTGCTTGTATGTTAGTGCATATCTGAATCGCCAATTATTCTTGAGGCATCGATCCCAAGCAATCCAGATATAAAGAAGTTTCACGGATTAAGTTCTCCCAGGTCAGCACCTCAAGAACAGATTGCGAAGCAGATGATAGGAACACGAATTTTCTACAATCAGTCGCCCCAGATTCAAGACATCACGGTATCCCGGCCCGGATGTGGAAGGCCATCCCCTGAAGGATCATTGTCACCCTCCGAGTCTTTCCAAGGACGTCCTGCCATGCTGCAACCTCCCTCTCCGTCGCAGAAAGCTTGTCAACTCCAACAGCGAGCATCGGTGCATCAGAGTGAATGGCAAGCTAATAAATCACAGAAGATTAGCCATTGCGACGTCCCTCAAGGCCAATCCGTCAACCAGTTCGAGGGAGATCAGGTCAAGAAAGCCCGGGTTTCTGTCAGGGCTCGCTCAGATGCTGCAACGGTGAGAACTTGAGTGACCTCATTTCAAAGATCAATCTTCCTTCAGCTTGTTCTCTTCGTGGGTATGGCGCAGGTTTGGCGGGATACGCGAGAGCCTGATCTGAGATTGTGGTCATTTGTATCAGATGAATGATGGATGCCAATGGAGAAAGTATGGCCAGAAGATGGCAAAAGGGAATCCGTGGCCTCGCGCATATTTCCGCTGCACTGTTTCGCCCGGCTGTCCAGTTCGCAAGCAGGTACAAAGATGCGAAGAGGACACCTCAATTCTGGTCACCACTTACGAAGGGACTCACAACCATGCGCTGTCGCTCGCTGCTGCAGTGATGGCGTCGACCACGTCCGCTGCAGCCTCCATGCTTCTCACGGGATCCACCACTAGCGCCACGCCTCATATGGCCACGACGCCTCAGTTCATCACAATATCGGGCCCTCAAGGACAAAACTCCACAGCAGTCCCGGCAATATCTGCTTCCTCCCCGTTTCCAACAATCACATTAGACCTGACGAACACTCCCGCCTCCCAGATAAGCAACAGATCGAACAACTCCCCTGGCACTGCATCCACAAATTTGCATTACTTCCAGGACACCACCATCAATGGCGTCACAATCTCACAAGCTACCACTCAGCAACAATTGATGATCCCCCAACAACCCACTACAATAAGCTGCCCGATGTTCCTAAATGAAACAGCTCACAAACACGATGGCAGCAATTTAACCCTAAGAGGGGCTTTCAGCGACCCGACCACCCATCACCATCGCCAAATGGACTCCTCGGACGGGACACGCAGCGACCACCAGCACAAACCGGCAGTAACACAACCACCAGAATCACCGACGACACTGGCCGAGTCCATGACAGCCGCCACAGCAGCGATTACTTCCGATCCCAACTTCGCGGCAGCTCTAGCGGCGGCCATCACGTCCATTCTAGCTCACCAGCACAACAACAACAACAACCAGAGCTTGCAGGATCTGGCCACGCAAGTTACGGAGATCAGGCACAGGGAGGGGCACCAAAATACGTCCTTACCGCCGTCGTCATTCACTCCGGTGGCATCCAGCGGCACCACGGAAGGACTGCAGGTGCAACCTATGTCCCACGATGCCGAACTCTCAACCATTCTGGCGTCGGCAATGATGTCCACATCGAAGGATCCACCTTCGACCGGATTGTCCAAGAGCCCAAGGCCCTTCGTCAGTCAAGGATCTGCGGTGGCCGCGGCGCCGGACCGGCGCCATCAGTAAGTCCCGCAACGCTAGATTCTAGTTAATCTGCGTCACCGCCATCGTCAGTGCCGAATCTGCACCCAAAATCACGCCCTCTTCGCAGATCTAGGCTGCCTCCGTAGCTATGTATGTTGCTTTGAAAAAACGCTTACTTTTATGGAAGGATGTGGGATCGAAGGCTCCGGAACAAGCCTTCACTGATGGATTGATGACGACGCGTCCCTCTCTTGTATAAGCTCTTGTGAAAATCGTGAAAGCCCAGAGTCAATTTTATGCCAGAACTCAATAAAATTACTTCACATTTTGACTTTAACAACGGGCGATTTTGCTGTTGTTTTTATTCTGTGTCACATATGTAAACATGTGTACAGAGGGTTTCATAGATTTTGATGAAACGATGAGATTCTTAAAAGGAACATTTCGAAAGGTTTATTGGGTCTCTTGTATTAGTTTGTATGTTGAGGGTTAGTGCTAGTGAGGTTGTTGTAGGAACCAAATTTACAAAGATTTTTTAATGTTGAATTAAAGGATCTTTGATTTATTTTTTTCGTTGTGAATGACGTTGAATAACTTTGGATTTATTAAGCACGTGATTTTAGTTTTCTTCTCAAGAAAAAAACACTCATTGTGAAGGTCTGAAGTCTTGTTTTGCAATGTATTTGTGGTGTAGCTGTATCACTTAGATAGAATTAGATTGATAATCAAGCATTAGATTAATCGTTGGATGATCAAATTATATGCATAATCACCTTCAGTCATTCTTTTATTTTAATTCTTGTTCAATGTGTTGCCTTAAAAAATATTGTCACTAATCAAATCATTACTCATTAAATTCTAATAAAAAATCATCCTTACACATAATTATTTATTACAATAAGTGATAATTGTATAGTCAAAAAAAGTTTGAATAGATGAATGGAAGATTTTACATATATAATTTAATCAACATTGTATAGATGATTAAACATATCAATTTTTGAATCCTAAAGGTATACTTCAAGTATTAAAGATTCTAATTGAATGTATATACTATAATATACAATCTTAATCAAATACTTTATAACGTTCTACATCATCCTTTAAGTTACGATGGTAGAAGCAGAGCAATATTTTTAACCATTTTTATAAAATATCAATACTTGACCAATAAAGAGAAGTATTTTAAATGAAATAGACCTAAAATAAATACATTGCTTGCACATATGAAAAAAAGAATTGTAAAGTCCTTTGTTTTAATGATTTTACTACACAATTTTTTCATCTTGTCATTCAAAATGTATAAAACTTATTATAGAATAATTTTTTTAAAAATCAATTGCATGGCTCAAATTTTTTTAAAAAATAAAATAACGGAATTAGTACAAGATAATAATTTTAAAATGAATAAAATGTAATATTTTTATTTTATTTTATTTGGATGAACTTTCATGTGTATAATATATATATTAAACTAAACTAAATTTCTTTAAATAAACATACATGTGTGTGAAATGTTTTGAAAAACGTTGTAAAATAAATATAAATAGAATAGAATAGAGTAGAATAGAAATTTGTAGAGGGATTATTCACGTGTTCATGGGAATGAGTAAAGCCAAGCCAAGGGGAGGGAGGAAGGGAGGAGCCGATGCATGGCCAACACAAGCCTCGCACACGCCAAGCGGGCACCGGTACTTCCACGGAAAAAGGTCCCGGATCTCAGGGCATTACGAATTGCAAAACCGCGCCCCGTACAGATGGCATGGACACAGGTCATTACGAAGCATTGTGCCCCTTTTCCCCGAGCCAAACCCATTACGATCAACAGCTTACGAAAGCTTGCACGAAGGTTTGATTTGTTTTTATTTCTTGTGTCGTTTCGTGTGTTGCGTCGATTTCGAGAGCGAGGGAGCCGGCGCCAGTCTCCTATTCCCTGCCAAGTTTTACCGCGTGCTCGTCGTGTTTCGTTGCAGCATTGTTTAGAGTAGTAGCGCGGAGCGTTGCGGAGCCGGGGTTGCCATGGGTGTCACTAGAGAAGGCGTCGAGGCTACGCTCACTTCCAAGCTCCAGCCTACATACCTCGTATGCGTTTTTTCCTTTAGCTCTCTGATATGCCTCCAATTGTTCATTTTCTCGCTCTTCGTCGGTGGTTTTGTTCGTTTCTGGTTTTGTTGTTCTTATTCTTGCTGCGGAAAGTGGAATTACACGCTTTCTCGTTCGTTGTGGTGGATTAGATTAGGGGTTGCATGAGTCGTGGCGCCTGGTCTTATTCTTGAATTTTTTTTCATGTGGTTCTGTGAGAATCATGTCAGAGCTATGTCGGTGGATATTTTCTGTAAAGCTGTGTCAGCCTTTGCACGATGCTTTATTTTCCTTTGAAGTGTTAGTTGTCGTTGTCTTAGGGAAGGGCTTTGTCTATGCTTTTCGACTTTCGCTATACATTATTCGTTTCGTGCTCTATTACCAATATCTCTCGGTCGTGCGCAGCCACAACGTTTCGATCAAGTTTTTTGGAAGTTGCAGGAATATGTTTGACTCCGATTGTGTTTTCCTAATTTCCATGCAGTGCTTGGTACATGCATGTTACGATGTTGCCTATGTGGTTGGTCTAGTGGCAATTTGTCTCGCGATTCTGCGAGACATCACCTGTGTGTTCAGCTTTGAATTTTCTTGTTTGAGATGCTTGAGGGAGTAATTAATTCACTTGTTCTGTCCTTCATTGTTGTTGTTGAAAGAGATCATTGGATACGGAGTATATTAATAAAGCTCTTATGCTGACTTACCCTGAGGTAGCCGATTAGGAAAGTGGAGATATAGCTTTAGTGATGCTTGATGCCATTGCCTTGTGGATTTCGTATCTTCTGGACTCTTCAGTTCTCTACTGCGTAGGTTGAACTCGTTTGTAATAGCAGCATCTCGGATCTTCATAGCTGGTCGCGTTAAATCGTAGTGAATTCGCGTAATGCGTCTTTCTGTCTTTTGCTTTGGCTCATTCCAGTTATTTACTGAGAACTGTCAGTGAAATCTTAGATCGCTAAATAGACGTTTTTGACTGCTAACTATATGTCTCTTCATTACGTCCCATTTACGACTTGGGATTCGCTGGTCGCTTTAGTCGTTTTTATATTTTTAAATTTATCAAATAAATAATGTTGCCTTGTTTACTTATTTATTTTAGGTTTTTATCTTATCCCTTGGCTAGAGAAGAAACAACTTTGACTGATTTAGTGTGGCCACTAGTGTGTTTCGTAAACTGAATATGGAGAAAAATAACACATTCCACTTGATATTGTCAGTACTATGTCTTATTTGAGGGTTTCTAATGTTTGACTTGTCCTTATTCGTGAAATTTTGGTTCTTCGATCTGCTGACAAATTCCGCGATGTCTTCTGGTGCTTGGCTGGCGGTGATGACCAATACAGGAGGTCATAGATACGTCTGGCGGGTAAGTTCACCTCTATCCACCGTCCCACACACAAACATATCAACCATACTGGATGTCTAGGTTTAAGGTTCACCTCCTTCCATTCTTGGAATTAGCTTCCGCAAATTTAGAACAAGCTATGACATTAAGTACTGGATGGAATATATTCAGTGAAGGCACTGGTGGTGAAGTTCTTGTGATGCGTTTGCAGATGTGGAGCCAGCTTTGCCGTTGCTATCGTGTCCTCGGCCTTTGAGGGCAAGCGACTCCTCGAAAGACACCGCATTGTGAACACTGCATTGGCAGAGGAAATGAAGAGCATTCATGCCCTCTCCATCAGTAAGGCTCTCACTCCCAAACAGTGGAATGATCAGCAGCCCGCTGAAGAACAAAAGGCTCCTGCAGCTGAAGTTCAGGAGCACCCAGCTACTGCGGTGGTTTAGGAAACTAAAGAAACCTTCATGGTTTGTCACCCCTTGGAATTGTTCCTCAACAAAGTATTCTGTGGCTTGACGATCTTCTTGAAAACTTTCTATTCATTTTACCCATTTATGCGTGCTTGGTTTATATTTTGCAGTGTAAGATACCTTCTAATCAATATGTGATTTGGTACAGAAGATTTAAGTTTCCACTACTTTGTTTTATGTTATTGTCTGAATGTTTGCAGTCAACAATTGTTTTATGTTTTTGTCTGAATGTTTGCAGTCAACAATTGTTTTATGTTTTTGTCTGAATGTTTGCAGTCAGAAAATACTCAGAACTTGCTCAAAATTTTCCCAATTGTTGCTGCTTATGAAGTCCTAACTAATGGTGTTTCTTTGACCGGGATAGGATTCTTATACATGAAATGAATTTATGATTTAAATTTGTTTGTTCACACAAAAACTTGGCGCATTGTAACACACATCGTGAAACAATCAAATTCAAAAACACCCTCTCACAAATCAATACCTAAATACAAATATCAGAGATATTAATAGCCATGTAAAATTTATTCAATCAATTGATCTCAGTGAAGGGAGCTTAAAATGCAAACATTTGCATTTCCAAACTATCTTTGCACAGAAACTTCGATACATACACATGTGACAAAACAGTAGAATTCTTTTCCTTCATAAAATGATATGCCGAATACTTAACAGTAAAAGCTTAAACTCACATGGATGGAGGATGGATAATGAAATCAAAACACATTACAAATTAATATAACTGTTAGTATCTTGATTCTTTTATAATAAAATAAAATAAAAATCATCGTTTTTACACAATCATTAATATAATTAATGAGAAAAAAAATTTAAATCATTTTGTACATATGTGTTGTTGGTAAAATAATTACTAAATCGAGGTTCTAAATGAATAATACAAAGATGGATACAACGTTAACTTAAATTTCTCATAATAAGATATATTTTTATATTTTTTATATTTTTTGTTTTAAAAATAATTATTAATTGAACATTTTAAAATATGTTTTATATTTTAAATTTTAGTATCAAATTTCCTTCTAGAACTTTACAAGTTTAAAGTTTTTGAAAATTATGATTAAAACTTACTTAAAGAATGAATTCTTGTTCTACAAAGCATGATTGATGTTGTCCCCTGGAATTTGCATAAGTTCCACATAATGAGATAGATTTTATTAAAAATTGAGAAGCCATTCTAAAAATTCTTTAAAATATACATTTTTACACAATTGTCAAGATATGAGTTGCCATCCTAGAATCGCACAAAAGAATAATTTTGCCCATGTGATGATTTTTTTTATTATCATATTCTATGTTTAGAGATTAAGACCTCAGAATGATCATTTTGCTTCATCAAGAAGGGAATATTCATGTCTTTTAAACTATAGTTTTTCAAAATAGGCTTTAAGATATGAGGAATTTCTGGGTTCTTAATCTTTCTTTGAAGTTAATAATTATTATTTTAATATTTAACTATTTATTTTTAATATTATTTTTATATCTTTAATATCTTAAAAATCAAATACATCGAAATAAATTATTTAAACATCCATTGCCATGTACTTTTACCATTTTTTTAAAAAGTATATAAATAGGTTGATGTAATATATACATTATTTTTAGAATGTTTCTTTTATATTTTTATTTAATTAAAAAAATCTAAATATTAAAATAATAATTATTAATAGCAAAAGATCAAAATTCTATATCAAAATCATCTCAAATATAAAAAAATTTAAAATAGGAGTTTATAGTAAAAAGTATATGTGTCGCACACACATCCATATATCCTTCCATCCATCCGTCCATCCATCCGTCCATCCGTCCATCCATCCGTCCATCCATCCGTCCATCCGTCCGTCCATCCATCCGTCCATCCATCCGTCCATCCATCCGTCCATCCATCCATTTAGCGTGTTTATCCATCCACGCAACCAATACAATTAGTCATCCATCCATCTTATGGATGACAAATTTCATGCCCCAGCAAGCTCGGCGTCTGTGGAGCGACAGCCAGCGCTGGAGGACCCGAACTGCGAGCGACAGCATATGAAATTCTGTGGCTAGAGTTTGCATCGTTGGAAGGGGGAAAGATGAAGCATTTTCTAACGCTTGTAGAGACAGTCGTTCCATAGTGGCAATCCCCACCCTCATGCATGCTCACTTAGTAGGTTTCTTAGAGTGAACTGAACAACTGAAAAGCTTTAGGGAGTACAAACTGAAGGGGGGTAAGAATCTAGTTTAGTATTCTTGCATGTATTGAGCAGCTCAAGTTTTATGGCAGAATTACATGATTGAAGCCGGCTAAAGTCTCAGCTCATAACCTACTAGCTACCTTCAGGAACCGTATGTACAAGTTCTAAGTCTCTTCTTACTTGTGACATTCTGCTGCATTCTGAGCACCCCGATGAATTAGGATGTTATTGAAAATGAGATTCTAACGAGTAAGTTTGACAAAATTGTATGCTACCCAGCTATGGGTACTAATCAGAAAATCTTTGGGGACAGATCTTTCCCTTCGTGCCTTCAGCTGAGATGAGGTATTGGTTTCCCTCATTCCTCGCAGGAACCTTGAAAAGATCCACAAACCTCTCTTCTCCGAGAGGGACCTTCATGAACTCAGTGATGTACTCGGAAAACTTCACTGGCTGGTATCGCGCCGGATTCGACCTGGTGCAAAACCTGGGAGCTGGGCTCACCACGGTCTCCCAGTTCGGCAAAAAGAAGTTCGAGATGCTCTTGCGGCCACTACCGTTTCCTGCTACCACTCGGTGCACCACGCTCTTGTATCTCTCGTTGCTGATCATCTGCATTGAACAGAAAGTTATACTACGATTAGAATCTTGTGCACGAGCTGGAGAGTGTCGTCGCTACAGACAATAAAGAGGCGACAGGCGAGAGGTTGGTACCTGAATTTGATCACCGACGTTGATGACAAAAGCCTCGGGAATGGCGGGGATTGGCACCCACAGCCCGTCCTTGAGCACTTCAAGCCCAGGTGTGCCATCCTGTTGTACTATCGTTAGCACACTCCCGTCGGCGTGCTGACCAATTCCCATCACCAGGTCAGGTTGCGGACAAGGAGGGTAGTAGTTCATTCCTGTGCGCACTCCGGCCGTATTCGTCTCCCCAAGCCTATCCAGCAAATAGTTACCATCGAGGCCAGCGTGGCGCGAAAGAGCAGAGAGAATCACATGCGCGAGCTTCAGAATCTCGTCTCCATACTGACTCATAGTTGCACTGCATTCATGTAATGAGATAGATAAGTCAACTACCTGCTAACATCCTAAAAATCACTGGGCTGGCCCACTCTAGAATGCAGAAGTCCCAGTCATTCCAAAAATTTAACAGAAACAATTGTGCAGAAACATAGTTAAGTTCGAGAAATTACTTGAAAGCTGCTGGGCAAATAACGTCAAGTGGTTGCCGCTTACGGTGTTCTTCGGAGGCGCTCCAGAACCCCAGGCGGTCCACCCAATCAACCCTGACCCCCTCCTTCACGGCCATGCGACGTCCATACCCAATGCCAGAGCTTGTTTTCATAGAATAGAGCTTCTTCTCCTCCATGGGCAAAGCAAAGAACTCACCACACATCTGCATTGCCCCTTGCATCAGCTCTGCTGAAAATCCGTGGTTGATTACCTGCGCAACATCATTTACCGGAAACCAATTAGATTTGAAATTCGAAAGGCAATAGGCTGGATAAACTTGAAACAGCCAAAGGTGCTCAAGTGGCCATTGCGAGAACCACACATGTCATCCACACCACCCAGGAAATAGGACTCTCATTGTAATTTGGTTATACCTGGAAGAAACCCCATTCCTCGCACGCACGGCCTATTTCTCGGACAACATTCTCTCCGAAGTCCGGGTGATTCAGTTTGGCCATGTCAATGACCGGTATCTGAAAGGTGCGTGGGATGTTCTTCATACGCGTTGACGATGGCCTGAGATTTTTCGGTAACAAAAACTCAGGAGGCACTTCGGTGAGTCCCTTCTCCACCAAGAATTGCACCATTTTCGTGGTGTCGACAGAAACTGGAAGCTCGGACCCTTTGCGGGTTACAGGCGCTCTTGAAGCTGAAGTTTCTGTCATATCTACCTTTCTCATAAACGAAGCCGGATTGAGGCTTCAAGCAAGATTTGAAAGATCTAGTGGTGATGCGAAATTCCAAATTCTAACAGTCGAATTCACTCTTTTCGAGAAATACCTAGTTCTAAGAGCTCAGTAAATGTGGGATTAAGTTGGTGCACTAGAATTAGAGGATCCTTGCTTCGCACTGCGAAAGCAAAATTATAAAACTGGAATACAACGAGCATTCTTATCTCTTCACTTGTGTTGAGAGCAATATCGTGCAAAATTAGAAGACTCTGAAGTACTAGTTGTTGAGCAAGAGCAGTGAAGCAGCTGCAGAGCCATTGCAGAGCATATCGAACTTTGGAAGGATGACTGGACTACCTCTCGGTACCTCGAATGAGCAGACAAGTTCGCTTCAAATCGAAATTAAGAACGTTCAAGTGGATTCGGATGATTGGACTGCAGGAGGAGAATGTGCACATACTCACGTACTAAGTATTCAAGCAACAAATCTAGGCATATCGTTAAATACACATAGAAGATCAACACTCGATCGAATTGAGCGCTTACAATTCGCTTGTAAAAGCGGATAGCTTCTCAGTGCAGAAGGACATCAAACTTATACTTCAGGAACCGAGGTTGGTCAATCAATGACAGCAAGCCGTCGCTGAATTGAAACTACCAAAACGGAAGTCAACAGATTGAATGCCTATACGTCATGCTCAATACAGTTCAGTCTGTAGCTGCTCAGTACCGACGACAGGCTTGAATCGAATCGAGCGAACAGAGATCGCGGTAGAAGTCGACTCCTAACCACATAATCTAATGCTCTCTCAGAATTCTCATTCAAGGAATTGCAACGTAGCGGATCAGTCGGGTTGTAAACTGATATGCGACAGGACAAGAATTCTGGTTTGTTCCAGTCGGACAATCTTCGGGCGTGTAGTCAAGAGCAAGGATTCCAAATTCGACGCTCTATCATTCGAACCTGGGAGGACCAGTGCACCAAACAGTTCCGGAGAAATGAATATTCCAGTCGGCAGAGCGGTTTGGCTCAGTCTTCCAGGACTTCCAGACAACATCCCTGGGTGCTCGACCGAACAATGAATTCACATAGATCTCGTTGACTCCCCCTTCCCCGTTTCCCGATCAGCACAGCCACCTAAATTGGCTGTCTAGGTGCCATCTGTACAAGCTTCACTAGTAGAATCTAAAAATATAACCCCCTGCCCGCGTTACAGTTTTTGGCAAAGTAGAATTGCCCTATTCACCCCCGGCACGAGCGCTAGATGCATGTTTTAAGAATTGTTTGAGTTGGGCCTACGTTCAAACTTCTGGTTTCTTCACGGTGCGTTCAGATCAACCTGGACTGTTTCTTGTGTGCCACTGTTCCGCACATTCGGCTAAGGGAGAGCGAGTTGTTGCCTCAGCTTTTTCATGATTTACTTGTTTTGTGATAGAAGCATTGTACTTTGCCACGATTGCTTCTGCCCAGTCTCCGAGGTTCTCAACCTTCTTGGTGTGTCCGAAACAAGGTCCACTTGGAGTTGTGATATATTACTTTGAAGAGGTTTGGCGAGGACAAATGTCGAAATTTCTGTTTTCTTAATTGAGTGAAAGCATATCCATTGAATCATTATGTTTTGAAAAGTGGAAAATTCCAAACCTTGTTGCTTGATTCTCAATCCCTTACACGTCAGGGGTCAACCACTGTTATTCCCCAGACAAAGAAAGACTTAACAAGACACTACAATCAGAAACAAACTTTTCATCTAAGTAAATGCATGACAAGTTCGAAAACTCGGATGTTAGCAACAAAAATTGTTGGATACTTGGTAACCAATGAATGATAGTAAAGAATGAAGTTTAAACTAAAGGGAATCAGCATTATCAAAAGTATGCAGTGTAACCAAGTCATAGAATTAAATGGGTATCCGTTATGGTAAAATATATTTTTATTACTGCTTTACATCGAACACAAGCATGAAGGTTTGGTTGATTTACAAGAATAACCTAAAAGTTGTGAGGCAGTATGATTGATGAAGCGCACAAGATTCCTTTTCTTTTTTGGTTTCAAGGGGCGGAGGTGCTCGTGCTAAACTTGCCTAAACTTTCGCAATCGGAAAATTCTGCGATCTCCGACTTGCCCGTTAGAAAACTCTGAAAAGATTCCGAAGAGCAAACCCATGTAGACTCTGATTGCTGAGACATCTTTCTTTCTCAACGCGAAATAGCGTTTGATAGCATAGTCATCCACACTTTTAGAATACATGTTCTTCGGGGTAAAGATTCAACTCTTGAAAAAAAGCTTCTCGAAGTGGATATCCTCTATTGGATGTTGAGTTCAAAGCAACTCACGAAAAGCAACTGGGCCCTTGGTATCTGCTTCTGCTTGACGCTATGTCTCTGTAAAATCGGCAACTGGTAGTTTCCAGTGGTGACTATGGATTTAATCCATGGTGGTAGTTTCCAGTGGGAAGTGAAAGAGGTGAAACTCTTCCATCGAGAGTTTCGATTAAGCATGCTTCGACGGGGATAAGTCGGCCGTGGTCGTAATTAGCTTCACACATGAGAGATTACAAACACCTAAAACTGGTGGTTTGCTCCAGAACCTTCAACAGCATCCTTGACCTGGAAGATGAGTTTCTAGGTTGTGACTGGAGGATTTCGGTGGGCTGCGATGTCCAACATCCTGGTCAACCGAGTGAACACCTCCGGCGAGAATGTAGAAGTTTCACCGAGATTAGTCCAGTCAGAGTTGGAGTCAAGAATGGAATGTTTCTGGATAAACGCGCAGACCTTCACCGCCGTTAAACTGAGCCTCACGTCGAAAACCTCCTCCACACTATTACTTCTGCATATATTACCGAAAAGTTCTCCTGATCTTTATTTCTTTTATTACCTTCTCCTGAAGATGGGGAACACATGAACCGGGATACCAGTAGGGAGATCATAAACGCAAATGGCAATTCCAATGAACAGTACACGCCTACAACAAAGTAGGTAGTAGAGCTAGAGCTGCTTGGCCTATGTAACTTCCAAAATCTTGTTCAAAACCTAAGATTTTGTGTAAAAGAGCCAAAGCCAAATCGATTCACGCATTGGGACTACCCAATAATCTTCAATGTACAAAGCATAGAATTATCTCCGTGACCTCCTGCTGTTTAAACACCATGATACATTCCTCGCAAGTCAGTGCAGGAATAGTAAACTCTACTTTTAGTCCCAAAATTCAGCAGACAATAGAAAACTTCTGCATAAAGTTTTGTTCTGGGTTAAGGATTGGTTGTAGGACAACATAAGCACGAATTAGCGACAATCGTTAAGGAGAAAGAGGCCTTGGAGTGTGAACAACTTCCTCAGGTGCCATCCCAAGAACATTCCCAAAACAGTGCGAAATAGTGTTAAGACTAAACTTTAAACGAAACTCCATACTTCTTCCCTATCCAAAATCAATATCTTCATCCAAATGACTCCTAGACCATAATGAAAGTTTCGTAGAGAACAACTTTCAACTTTCAAAAAGGCTTCCGCTTGTGTCCCATGAAACAACGAATATAAGCTCAAGCCCATGCCGTGAAGTGTTGAACAAGTGCTTCAACACAAGACTTACCTCATTGCATTAATCGTCTGAGCTCTTCCCCTCAACATAGTACTTGAGCTCGTTCGGATTACGACCCGCATACCATGAGAAGAGACCGCTGTTGCATTGTAATGAGTCTCCAACTCACCATAACACCTTCTTATCTTTTCTCAATTTATACATACGAGAATCAGATAAACAGCACGATTTTCAGGCAACAGAAACAATACATGTCCAACTTGAAGCCCAATTCAGGATTCCGTAGGGTCATAACCAATATGATAACTCTGATGAAATGAGATTTCATGAAGTAATAATCTTGGAAAGAAGGCTTCTCGAATCTGTGATTAGCATTTTATGATTGTCAACAATGCAAATCTAATCTCTGAAAGCAAAGTGAAAGCTCCACCTCCAACATTGCCAATTCATTCAGCCCCAGAAGCAGAGCACCCAAACTCTAACAAGAAGAAACTAGGACCTTTTGTGTTCTAGGCTGAAAGTTACGATATCACAGTGTCAGTTGCATTTGGTTCAGCAAACTGACGCTACTTCTAGGGAAGAACAGAGACGAAAACTGACAGCATTTGAACTCGATTCTGTCGAACAGGAAACCTCAGCGAAGGAGATCGACTCAAGCCACAGCTGACGTCTGGAACTAAATTGTCCTGCTGATGTCTACCACAAAAACCTCCCCATGCAACCCTAAAGATAGGATGTGTAGGTTTACAATCGAACACAAAAGCCCCGCACTCGAACCTTAATCAGTTCTCTTATTGCAGCATTGCATCCTCACCACCTTCAGCACCCGCGACAGAACTAGCGGGAGCTACTTCTTTAGATGAAAAGATCTTCGGCCTTAGCTTAGCGCGCTTCTTCATGGAGAAAGCTCGTGCAGCTTTCGGCAACTTTGGCTGCAGCTCCTGTTGGTCCGCCGAACCTTCATCGTCAGCAATCATCATCTCGACGTCTTCAATGGTGACTAGTCCTGACTGAAGAGCCTCCTTCTGCGCTCGTCTCCACTTCTTCATAAGCTTGGCCTTCTTCTTCCCAGAAAGGTAACCAGAGTGAGCATTCACGGTCGACACCTTCAAAGAAACAGCGGTGGAGGCACAGCAGGAGTCATCTGCGCACGACACCCTCGAAGCCGCGGAGGTAAGCTTCGCTTTTTTCCGCTCCGCCCGCTTCTGTCGCCTCTCCTTCTGAATATTCCTCCGCGGAAGATTGAACTTGTTCATCTTGAACCTCTTATGTCTTCCGAAACTCCCACTTCGATCCTTCCAGAGGTTCAGCGAAAGTAACCCCCGCCGCAAGTCAATCGAATAGACAGCGCCGTATTGAAGAATCTCGTTCGAGCTTCGAAACCTGACACCCAAAATCCAAGAACCTAAAAGTAACAGCTAATCAAAGCCCACCAGAAACAGGAGGGCAGTGTGTAGAAAATGGCGGAAACAGAGATCCACGAAGAGAGCTCAGGAGAGGCGCGAGGCTTTCTTCGAGCTTCAGCCGCAGTGCGGCACTCAGTTGCATCCCTAGCCTCCATAGCCCTACTGCTCACAACGTAACCCTAATCGTAAAAGTGTGCGCAGGAATAGGCTCTGTCACTACTCCACGGTAGACCTAGGCGGAAAAAGGTTGAGCACGTAAACTATTCGTCAATAAAAATACGTACATCCATCGAACTTTTCGCTTCGATTGAGAGTATTATTGTACTAATCATCCAAATTTGTACATAGTTCTGTATATCTATAGTTTCGAGAATACATTCTCTGTGAAGAATATCAACCCTAACAATTTTTTTAACTTTACAAAATTTTGATACAGCTCTGGCATAAATATTTTGCAAAATGAGAATTGTTTCATGTTACATTGCCATCTATTTCTAAGTGATTGCAGGTGTGTGTAACTGTGTGTGTATTGATATGTATTAATAAGTAAATTCACATGTATTTCAAGGTGATTTTTGAACTTTAAATTTCTTATGTATTTGATTATATATTAATTTAAAATTTGCATCAATCTAAGCATGAACCATGTACACTCAATTTGTGCTCATTAATTTAAATACTACAGTAGAAGATATAAAGTTCTAATTAGACAAAATAAAATGTTTTAGTGGGATACTTTAAGAAAGTGTTTTTTTACAATGTACATTTTTGGATTATATGTATGTAAAAATAAAACAAAATAACATTTTAAACTATTAAAGTAAGAAAGTTATGGAAATTTTTATTAAAATATTAAACAGGCATTATGATGATAATATATATATATATATATATATATATATATTCCTGAATTTATATATAAAATAGTATATCGTCTTTAATTTTTTCATTGCACCATTGTGTCTTTTTTTTATTATTATTTTAAAAAAAATCGTAAAAGACATGCTTAAAATGTATTATCATTTGCATTTACAGTTACAGTATATAAATTCCAAATATAAAGACATAAATGTTTATTTTCAAATTAATATTTTAAAAGAAAGTTTAAGCAGGCCTCTTTATTTTAAAATACTTCTTTTGCTTAGTCTTTTCTTATGTTATTAATATCTAGTCTTAATTATTGATTTGTTAAAACAATCACTGCACTATATTATATTTCATCATTCTTTATTTGAATCATTCATAATATCAATATATTTGCAATTGAATATATATATTTTTCATCTGATTTTAATTTTATTTTATTTTATTTTTGCAAACTAAAATAACATGATTGAAGAATAATACGCAATTTATTCTAATACTGTAATAACATGTAATTCAAATAGAACTAACAATGCATCAAATCAAAACACGTAAAAAAAAAAAAATCTCAAATAAATTTTTTTAAAATAAAAAATAATAATTAATCATTTATTCATGCTTTCAATTTCTATTGAAATATTTTAAAAACTTCACATTGAGAAGACGACAGTTATAAGTACAACCGTAGCACAAGGATCCACACTCCAAATAATTGGATGGCTTGTATTCGGGCACTAAATCCTGTGCGGGCAGCAGGGCAGCTGTTGCCAAATTTTGGAACGAGATAAAACTAGACCGACGCAGGTGTGAACGGAATGTCGAGGGCCGGGACGGATTTTCAGCCCGCAATAGTCACGTTCCCCTCGTCTTAAGGAGATAACAACAACAACAACAACAACAACAGTAGACGACGACATAGATCTTACGTTATCTCCATAGCCACCATTCTCGAGCTTCGTGCCCCCCCCCCCCCCCCGCGTTGCAGTAGTGACCGCTCTTCGAAGTCCTTCCCCCTTCATTGTTGCTGGGTGCATATTCGACGCGATCCTGGCTCCACATTCTTCGACCTGTCTTCCATTTCGGACGTTTGGATGAGAGCCATTTTGGCTATCGGGTTCTTTCTCCGAGCTTCTTGCACTCGGTTTATTGTAAGGTTATGACAGTTCTGCCGTTTTTTTGCAGCGCAGAAATCAGTGTTTTCGTCTGCTGCGTTGCGGAATCGGTGGAAGTTTTGAAAGACAAGTCTCACGCAATCTTTAGACTCGTCGATATGAGACTCATGACGGCTAATTCTCATGGCAGTATCTTTTTCTTCTGTTTTTTTCAGTCATGGAAGTGACAATTCTGACCTGGCTGTTGGAATCTCAGGGAGAGGTTACGATTCGAGAAGATGTTACGCGTTGTCTCAACGGGATGCAATATTTCTCAAATGGGGAGAAAGATTTTTGGCGGTTTTTTGAGGTAATTCTTCTTCTTCCTTCCGCCATGATCGAGTCAACGGCCGAAAATTTCTCTGTGCATGTCATTAATGTCCTTGTTTGATCCGAATTTGCTTTAAGATTGTGTGAAGGATACAAGCAGCTGCTGTTAATTGTGCACTCTACATGGAATTATTATTTGGAAGGGACTCGCTTCAGGCTCGGGAACGCTTGTCGGAGTCGATGAGTTTTATGATCTGACGTATTCTAGGGGAGTTTTCTGCGCTGCAAGTAATGCGCCACATTCCAACCAAGGAGCGAAACTTATTTTCTGGAACACTGTAAAATGAGGCAAATATACACATTGACTGGAACGTAGCTCCTCAAAGTCAGACTGCTAAGTTTTACACACACGAGACTCTGAAACATGTCATCGACGTAGCCAAAACATATCCCTTCTGACCAATTAGTTGCAGTGGGTTAGAAAAAAGTCCATCGGCAAGCTGAATTAGCGAATGCGTGAGACCACGAAGACGAGAAATAAAGAATCGAGGTTTTTCATGAGATTGCCTTGTCTGTTAACATGGTAAAATTAAGAAGGCGCTCATCCCGTGTTCAGGTAAAGGGAGAGCTCCTAAGGTAACATTTCGCGAGGATTTGACCAAGTGAAGTCCTAAGCTAATAGGTGATCCTCGGGTGAAAAATCAGAATGTTTGTTCAAATTTTCATCGTTTTCACTTTCTTCGGAGGAAGACGATGACGACGAAGAAGAGGAAGAAGATGAAGATGAAGACTTTCCCCCTCGCGTTTTCTTTTTATCAAAGTTCTTATTCTTCTTTTTCTCAGTGGATGAAACCTTGAGACGCTGCAGTGTGGCAGGCTGATCCTGGGGCTCAATTTGCACGAGGTTGCCAGGAGTGTTGGCTTGACGAAACTCGGATTTCTCGGAGGAGCTTGCTTCAACTTCAGCTCCTCTCACGGTATTGAGTGTCTTTGCTCCAGTAATTGGACGACTCTTTGACGACGTACTTGAAGAAATTGTCCTCGACTTTTGAGAAGGAGTCTCCTTCTCTACCTTCCGATGTCTCAAACCCTTAGAAGGACGACTGCTGGTCGTGTCCTGAGTTTCTCTTAATTGAATTTTTAATGGTTTTGAACGATTTGGCCTGACGAATGTGGGGGTGTCCAGGTAAATAACCTCTCTTAATGAACCCACTGCCTTTCCACGCTTGTGAGGAGGTTGGGAAACCTCTGCTAACGGTCTTGGGTGTGCAATCTCTGCCTCCTGAGAAGGGTTTACTCCTTCCTTCGACGTGTGGAAATTCTTGGCTCGAGGAGACTGTCCTATCTGAGCATCAGAGAGGATCTCAGAAGTTTCTTTAATTGTGCTCATCGTCTGTGCTCTAAGAACATTCTGATTTGATGAGCTACTCAGCGGCGATGGCTTCAGTTCCTGCGAACTACCACTCTCACCGACCCTTCCTGTTCCAAAGATCGGTGGCGAACCTGGAGAGTGTGCAGAGGAGGGTGATGCTCCACCTTTCCCTTCGTCATTTTCATTGCTACAGGATGCTTCGCGCCGAAATGTAAGAGGAGAACCAGACTCGAAGCCAGAGTTATCTCGAGAAAGCTGCCCTTTCACATATCCCTGGAGGTAGGATGCACTTATGATTTCATCGCCTTCAACAACGCCACTTTCATACAGAACTCCTCTCTTGAATGTGAAGGGTGAGAGGGTAAGTTGGTCTCCAACTTTCTCATTGTCATCTTTATGGGAGGTTTTCATTTTGAGTATAAGAGGAGAAGACTCTAAGCTTGAGTGCTCACGTGAAAGTTGCCCTCTCAAGTAGCCCTGCAAATAAGCTACTCTCAAAGCTTCGTCGTCGATGTCGTCCTCAATGTGTTCTCCAGAGAAAGAATTTTCTCTTGACAGCTGCCCTGCCAAATATCGCTGCAAGTCTCTCACAAGTGCTTTTTCGGCATCACTCTCCATGATTATTTCTGAGTTGAGAGCAGACGATGGCTCAGCAAATGAGTTGTCACGTGAAAGCTGACCTTGCAGATAACGCTGGAGCGAACGCACTCTTGCCAGTTCGTTGCCGCTGTCATCCCCACTTGTTGGGAGCTTTCCTGACGTCGAAGTATCCTTTTTGAGTCCTTCCACGTTCTCTCCCTTGGAAGAGAGTGAGGCTCCGCTTTTTCGACCTGATCTTTTCCTCAAAGATGCAGAATCTCCCTCGCCGAGATCTGGCAAGGATGTATCTTGATTTGCATGAAGCTTAGTGGCTTGACCAAAGGCTCCCCATTTCAAAGGCAAGGGTGATGTGTCTTGGACTGACTCTTTACTATTCATGTCCACCTCAACGAACTCACTATCTATCCCCGCTAACGAGTCATGTAAAGTAGCCTTCTCATCCTCTTCAATATCCTTCCCGTATTCCTGGCCTTTCTCCACATCTCCACGGACTGCAATCTTCTCATCTGAAAAAGCCGGATGATTGTATGCATTTCGGAAGAACACGGCTAGATTTAAGTCCGGTTCTTCCCGTCTATCTATAGTATCCTTCTCCACAGCAGTCTATTAACAAACCAAACGAGTGTGAATTTCAGGACAGGAAGAATGTACAGCGTTGTTGAGAAAGCATGTTGGTCTACTTTTCACATGAAATGGGTTAGAACTAGACCAAGAAGTGGCTTGGTCTCAGAGAACCCGAGGAAAACTGGAAGACAATTTGTCAACAAAGTATAACCTGCATACAGTTCAACTCGTAACTATCTACCAAATTAGGATCATGAACCTTGTGACTGCAACATTCAAAAACCAGAAGAAGATAACCGATTAGTTAAGGGACTTCAAGTCTTTCACAGAATTTTACCTCTACCGGGTAGTTCTTGAAGGCAGGCTCAAATCGCTTTTTGCAGTAGTTGTTGAAAACCAAAGTCAACACCGGCAAGGCAATCATGAAGGGTGTCGAACTACAAGAATCTCTCACATAACGAAGAATTTGATCCTTGACGCTCGATCCGGCAGGTGTTTGGACGAAAGTTATCGGACCTTTAACAAGGAACAGACTGATAAGTGTAACATGCTCAATAATGAGAGCAGCAATAATGCGCCCATGAACGTGAGGCCAGAATGATCCTGCGCTCTCGTAGGCGGAGTCATACACGTTGATAATCTGCAGACGATCATTCTACAGAGGTTAACGATGACTTCGAAGAACGATTTAAGGAATACTTGTTAAAGAAAAGCCTAGATAATGTCACTACGTAGAGCATGCGGCTATATAGAACCCATATAGACGGCAGCAGAGATTGTACCTGATGACGGTAAACGACAAAACCGAAGCCCATAAATACGACAATGAATGGAATGATGACTGGTGTAATGACCGAATACACCAGACCCATCAAAAAATAAAGTTGCAGCTGGGGCAGAGTCTCATCCAAAGTCAGGGTCCCAGGGGAAGCTGCTTCCAGTCTGTCGCTGTCAGTCTTGCAAAACAATGTATTCTTAACATGGTATTTCACCAACGGCGTGAGTCGAAGGATCTCCCCAGCCGGACCGGACCACCCATCCACCATGATGTACGTGATGAAGAAAGACGCCTTCTGAGGTATGGATAGTGCTATCGTGTTCAGAAACCTGTTTGACAGCACAACCACAATTCTTAGAGAGTGCACACACTGAAAAGGACCATGATTCCATTTGTTGGTAACTCGTGTTTTAAGTCTACTACAACACATGAGCAACATCGTTAGAGAGGATGTCAAGTTTATGCCAGAACTTCGGAGATTCTTAGCATTATTAGAACATTCTGAAGAGAGTGCAGTTCAGTGTTTGCAAAGCTCTATAATTGATAATGGTGGCTGAACGTTGACCTTGACACAGAGTAAGAGAAGAGGGTGGGGTCGAAATAAAACACACCCTAAAACTGACGAGGATGTGACAAAAGTCTTCAGCTGCTGAAATGCAGATCCTGTTAGAATACTTCCGAAGAATATGTTGACGACCACGAAATAATAGTACTTCGCAGCTGCACGCCGCTCAAGCTTCGATATGGACAGATGTCCTTCGAACTTCGAGAGAAACATTATAAACATCGGCAGAAGCAGGAAGCAGAGTTTCAAAATGAGCCCTGGTAGAAATCCTTGAACAAACGATGAAATGAATTCCCTGTTCATTTACCACAAGAAACAGCAAAAGCCGAATTAAAGCTCCGCTCCTGTTCTTCCTTACAGCTGTTGATACACTAAAAATCAAGCACCAACTACGAGACACTTCCTACGATGAACAGTCCACTTAACCGCAATGAAAGATTCTTTGACAGAATATATTCAGAATAAAGCTAAAGAAGATCATGTTTTAATTCACGCATTTCAAAGGTTTCATTAGTCGTGCAAGCCATGAACAATGCGAGGCGCATCGAGTGGAATTACAGGGACTTACATCTGAAGGAATCCATCGAGAGCGGGAATGGATCTTCGAAGCCCTTCAAGGTTTGCCAATGATTGCACGGCTGCAATCGGAATCATGTAGAAGAAGACCGTGAGGAAAACAATCACAGTAATTGCTAGTCGTCGAAAACCAAGCTGGACATACGGTATCGCAAGGTTGGGCCAGTATACATCGCGCGGCTCTGGCGCCCAGCATGTCAGCCACAACGTTGGGTCTTGCACTTGTTGAGTTTGGGCGCAAACAGCAGCCCCCCAGCGGGTTCTGAAGGAAACAAACGCTGCCGGCATTATGGCCTTTGGGTCGCTTATCACAAATTCACGCTCGATTTCTGCCTGGATAGACCCAACCAAGCAATTCTTAGTGAACACTGGCGCAGAGCTGGACCCAAACGATGTGATAAATAGATTGCACCATACTCCAAAAGATGGAAGGAATATGTTTTCAGCTTACTTCCGTGGTCAATCGTTCCACTAGAGCTGAGTAGTGGTCTATTGCATCGACTTGCTCTCCGAAGATACCACAAAAGCCCGTCTGCGCACAAACGCTCAAATTTGATTTCAGCAAACCCAAACCTCAACATAGGAGAGAAAAAACATGTCAGCACTCACATTCGGGACCTACTTCTTTTCAAGGAGATGTGAAGAGAGTTATTAGAACTCCCTGATCTAACCGTATTCGCAATTCGGTGTTTTCAAACTACATGAAAACCTTTAAGACTGCATTGTGGCTAGAATACAAAAAATATGTGGAATGAAGTACCTTGGTCATGGGTCTCATGGCCGGTTTACGCTTATACTTGAGTTGGAAATAGTCTAGCCAGTTTTGTGCTTTGTCTCTTTCCCTTGCAATCTTGGTCAGCTTGTTTGCATTGTACGCCATCTGTCATCCAATTCATGTAAGGTTGTATTCACCGAAATTGAACCATTTACAAGCACCCATCATATATTGTAGCGGAATAAATTTTCGAAATCAATATCGACACAGCTTTTAATACTTCTGATGTTGAAAATGATGTTTTCGGGTTGGCTGAGATGATGTGACGATCAACTACCGACCAAGCGTGTAGATGAAATAGAGACGAGAAAAGTTGGAAAATACCTCATGCGTTAAATAATAATCTGGGTGGTTTGTGCGGAAGAAAGTCTCGACTTGTTTGCCAAGGGGCAGAGTGCCCTTGTCAGGTATTTGCAATACCATAACCTGAGAGCATCACAATTTGCACATCAATCCAACGTATTTGCATGCTAAATATTGCCTTGCTCTCCCTTCTTGAAGACAAGAGAAATAGAAGCCATTTAATAACGTTTTTTTAATTCTCAGATGGTAAAGAAGGCTACGACTGAATGAAAAGTGATCTATCATTTTCACTCTGCCATCTCGAGTACTTCCCTTCTTATTGAACAATGACTAGGTTTAAGGGAAAAGGATGCTCACTGTGTACTGATCGGGCCGCCTTGTCTCATCAGAGAGAAACTTCAAGCGCAGTGCTGCGATGCTCTTATATTCCATGAAAAGAATGAAGCAAACCCAGGCGGTGAAAACATATGACATAACCAGATGTGCCCAGAGCCTGTGCATTGCGTGTGGTGAAAGTGAGGATTCAATTTTTGGATCTAATTGCCTGTTATCAGAGAAAATAGTTTCTTGAATAGCAACAGCGAAAACCCGTGCACTATGAGCATGTTCATCGACGCATATCCAGGAAGCAGGAAGTCTCAAAGGAGCGCTATCTGTGGTCTCATCGATGCTCTTTCACAACTTAAAGGACTACGAAAGCGTATCAAAACTATGATTTTGAATGTTAAAAAGTGTGAAAACATGGACGTTGTTTTGCAGACCCCTGATAAATCGCCACCAAATCAGATCATGGATATCAATTCTAACTTAATGTGGTCAGCAAAATTTAGCATCTTCCTGTTCACAGTTTGTTTCAAGTAGTCCTTTCAGAAAAAGATGTATTTCTCGTTGTAACCACCTTGGAGATCTATTAGGTACATTAGACATGGAAAGTTTGTCGATAGAGCTAAACAGGAATTTCGTATCGGTGGTGTTGCTGGTAACATCTGTCCCCGACTCAGCCAGCGATCCCGCTCCTACGTTCACAGGAACCAAAATCGCCATGCTCAGTATCATCAGGGGTATGAAGATCTTCAACCTACAAAACTCAAAACAACATCCGTTTCTCAGCAATTGCCCAACTTCAAGCATTCAATAAATTTTGAAATGGGGAGTCATATATCTTCCACAATAGTTGTCCTGATGTAGATCAATGAGATCTGTAAAACTAAAAAAACGAGCAAAACCCATCTACTGGGTTTCATGTTACTGCACCATGAGAATCCTACCTTCGCCTGTCCATTACGAACATAACCAATCTAAAAAAGAAAAGAAAAAAGGAAAAAAAGCTGAGAAGCCTCACTACAAGGGACTTTGGATTAATTGTTCCTTTCAATAATTGCATGTATGTGTAATGCAAGGCATTCCTTAAAAGTACAAGAATGGAAAAACAAATGAAAAAATAGAAGAATTAATATCCGCTGAAAGAAGCTTCACAGAAGAAATGCCGCGTGAGATGAGGTCGCATATGGCACGTGAATGAAGTTGCCTAAAGTGCTTAGATGATGAAAGTGAGAGGGAAACACTCGTTCAAGAGAGAGTGTTAAGCACTCACCCGACCAAGAAGATGCGGAGATAGACTGCGGAGTCGAGTCCCGCGTGCTGGATAATGTCATTCTCGGTCTTGCGGAGAGCAGACTTGACCCAGTCGAATAACCTCGTATACTGATTGAGCTCGAGATTGACGTACTTCTCTATTGGCTTCAGCTGGCGAGGAGTTGCTCTTGGTCTTCCCTTACGAAGACCCTTAATGTACAGCTTCGGATAGTAGACGCGATCGTTCACTGGCTGAAGACTAAGAAACACAAAACTCAACAGGAACAATATGGTGAGGCCGATGTTGACAAGTGCTGCTACGCCTATTTCCCGCAAGGTCGTCATCTTCCGGGCTCACTTTAATCTTCGCAATGCGTTTAATTAGACACCCCTTTAGAGTTCTCAATTCAAGCTGTTTTTCTTTCGCACTACTTCCAGATAGGGAAAGACAGGAGGAGTTACATACTGCTTCACGTTGGATCAGTCTCCGTTACCGAATGACGAATACTGGTAGATATGTTGAGAAGCACGACATCTCAACCTGGTTGCAGTTACCAGCCGGGGATTCAATCCGCACTGGCAGCCTTTCAAAGTACTCTATCCCGGACATGTGACAGAAACTCTGTTGAATTCGTCCACATTGCTCCACAATGCCAACGCAGTACAGGGGTTGTCACTCATTAGAAAAAGGAAAGGTTTGACGCATTTCCAGTTGCAAATGAGTCATCTTTCAAAAACTGTTATCGATCCCAGCCTGACTCGTGTTGATATCATACGAGAAAAATGTAGCCCAGGAAATGCCTAGTCCCCGCAAGTATGACCTTGGTGAGGGCATTCAAAATCGCAGGACGAAGGAGCCATTTGCAGCTTCCAATTCAACGAAGTAATTCTAAGATGATCCGAGCAAGTTCCCGACAAGGATGAAAGGAAGAAACCAACGAACATCGAATACAATGCTCGCACTTCAGAGCACGCAGCACAAAAACTCTGCACTCCTTACACTGACGCCAGTCCACACTCAGTCGAGAATTAAAATTCACGAATCGAATGCACACACAAACGGCACGGACTTTCGGTGCACTCGAACAGGGGACACACAACGATGTCGTCAACAAGATCGTGTTCAAATTACACGAAACTCTTCCGCGTGCTGCTGCATCTCATCATCCCTCCCACTGAACCACAATCACAACCTTGTCCACTAATCTACGCAACAACCTCAAGGAACGGAAACGCTAGAAGTTCAAAACAAAGGAACACAGGACTCCCTAACAAACCACATATACCAGAGCAAACAGGCAAAAGGCCAGACAAACCCACCAAAACCATTGCAGAAAAGCAAAGATCGCACTGGTAATCGCCTCCGTCCAATACAAGAACACGACCTCGAGAAACTAGCGGGAATGCGGCAATTTTTAATCGGTAGGCGAGCTTGAACGCGAGCTGCAGCAGGCGGGGGAGGAGATACCGGTATCAGCAAGCTGTTAGCGCCGGGAGCCAAGGCGTGGAAGGGAGATAGCACGTTCTGTCCGGGATCGGTGCCCATCATCGACGGTTGCGCTTCGCACTGCGAGAGCGCTATTCCAGATTCCGCCAAATTTGTGGAGGTCGCGACAACGTCAGCGTTATGATCGTCACAACCGGTACTCAGTGCGTCCCGAGGATTTCGTTCCCGGGAGTTACTGGGTTGCGGCGGGGAGCTCGCGGGGGGGGGGGGGGGAGGGGGGGATCACACTGCCCTGCCTTGCTCCGATTCTCTTCCTTGCATCCCTGCAAAATTTGAGGAATCTGAACAACCCGATGTTGTTGTTGTCGTCCCTCCAGATTCTTCACAAACTCACTGCGCGCTGATCGACGCCCGCGCGCAATAGTTTCTTGTTAAACGTTCTGGGGACTTCCCGGTGACAATGTAGGGTGATGCCGGCGTTTACGGCAGGCTTCGAACCCTCGACCGGTTGGATTCATCGCAGGAATAAATATTTAGACAATATTATCTGTCCATATAACATCTATTGTGAACAGTTTTTGTGCGTTGCATCCTTTTATTCATAGGGTGCAGTTGCAATTTTTATGATTGGAATTTGAATCACTAGTGTATTTGGTATTACTGTTTGCTATATTTCAATAGTTTATGTTCATTTGAATCCCACAATGGTTGACTTCTTTGTTGGTGGGTTTGGCAGGTCGTGCAATTCTAGTTGTATGTGGCCTCTGTCAAAGGTTCCTTCAAATCATTCATATGCATCATAAAATTTATTAATCAAACCAGTGTTATTTAGAATGATTGTATTGTGTTTTATTAGTTATTATCTCTTTGTGTATGTAGGTGTGTATATATTTTCACACACTAATTTTTTTTAAACTTATATATTACTCAACAGGGAGCATCAGATTAAGATAATGGATGAAATAAAAGACTTTAGAAAATCAATTTAGAGTAGGATGCATTCAATTGTGTACACCATTCCTATGTAGGACAAACTAATTTCAAAAAGATTGGAGAGTACTTGTCTGAGTTGTCTAGTCTCATTTGTGTATGAAAAACCCATTACTCAAAAACATACACATGTTCATAGTCTTAATTTAATCTAAGATTTCTCATGTGCACAATCAAAGATTAATAATGAGAATATAATCAAATTTTTGTATCATAAAACATAATCATGGCTAACAAGTTCATGACAATAGCAAGCTAATATATTGTTGTATAGCATTTCAGCTATGAAACATCAATCTATGAGCTTTGTAATTCCTAATCATAATAACTAAGAATTTAAAATATACTTTTGTACTTAATTTATTAAATACATATCACAAAAATACAAATACACATGAGATTTTATACTATATATGTAGTCTTTTACTGCAAGAGAAAAATTGTTGCACACACATTCACACAACAATGTTATTGACTATCCATATAAATTACCATTGTTGTGTGAATGTGTGTATAGATATATATATATATATATATATATGTCACACACACATTCATATAACAATGTTATTGACTATCCATATAAATTCATAGCATCTGCATATCATTTTTGAGAACAATAATTCATGATATATTTGATGTATGGTCTTGCATTCCTTAAGTAGTCATGCACATTTAATTAACAAATATTTAAGCTATTCAAAATCCAATACCATATTACAAGTCAATTTAAACCTATATTATATGTATAAAATTGCAAAACTAATGTAATTTTTTACATTTAATTAGCTCAGTATAAGAACGCTTATTTGGAATTAATGGATTTATAAATTATATTTAAGTATTTGACATGTATTTCATGTGAACAGCAATAACGTTTAAATATTAAAAAAAATTAATAAATCATTCACAACATACTAAATAAACTCATGATATATAAATGTAATGTGTTATGCATCTAATTCTAAGTACATAAACACATCTTCTTCTTTTTATCATTCTCTTATACTTAAGTAAAAATATCATGCCTTCATTCCTCCTTCCTTTGATGCACTAAATTTCAAAATACTGTTTGTTTCTTATTCTTTCTAAATACGACTTTGAACAAGCTACCTGTATTGGTACTACCTTATAATTTATTTTTTTATTTTTTTGTATATGGCTATGCATACATGTAGATGTGAACAGATTAGATGTTGGGGCTAGATACTTACATTGGTATATATTTTGCTTAAAATTCATTCTTATCCATATTAAAACTGAATACAAGCAGTGTATACTAACAAAATGCAAGGATAAAGTATAATAGCGGATCTACTTTTATGCAAATCAATAAACAAGTTAGAATAGGTTTATTAAACAGTTAAACTGTGAGTTACATCATAACGTTTTACAATAATATCTAAATGACCATATGAATAAAATTTTATTTGATTAAACTTGTACTTTTAAGAAAGAGATTGTCATTTTGGGCATATAAGATAATGTTCTTATGTTTTATATACAAATTGGATAATTCAATGCATTATTAGTAAATAGATATATTATTAGTATATATTTTTTTTAAAGATGATTTGAAAGACATTTTTTTGATTTTAGATCACCAAGACAATTTTATCTTCCATATAATATTAGTTTTAATGTATATTTTGATTATAGGACATTAGTATTTGATAAATTGAGAAATAAACTCAATGCATTAAGATTCAACTCAAGAAAGAACCACTTCATACTATAGGCAATTTTTAAGCAAACAAAGAATTTGAGCAATATGATTGGTGGAGAAAAAAAGTAAAAAAGTAAAAAATAAAAAATAAACCACTTAGTCTTTACATTAGAGGCAAATAGTCAATGGACATCTTGGTTGAAAGTGTCCGCATGGCAACATTTTGGTGTCAAGGAGATATCTATTTGACAAGAAATTGAGCCAAACAAGAATGAGAACCCAATTGTCACTTGAGCCAACAATGCCAAAATTCATATTTATTATATTTTAATGGATTTTTACATTGACCATTTGTCCAATTCCATCATACGATTAATTGACTATACAAATTCACAATGCACGTCCACACAGTTTAACAAATCGAATAAAATAAGCTTGAAGGATGATAACTCGATACATTCATCCATTAAACATAACACAGGCCAACATCATAGTATTCGACGAATGAATGCATTCATCCATTAAATTTATACATGAAAACGCGCACAATTTTAATGCGTCTAATGGAGGCAGGGAGATGGACAAACTGGAGTTTGGTCTCGGCACGCGATCAATCGAGAGCGACGGGGGTGATGCTGCAGCGCAGTGCAGCGCATCAGGACGTGGGAGTTCCGGGCCACGAATGATGTGTGTGAACCGCTGACAGCTTGATGATGCATTTGAATTATAGTCGTGTTAGAATTCTCTCTCGGTGCCTTGCGGAATCGGTGCGGATCGTGGTGGTTTCACGGTGTGAGGGTGGCAGCCATTGCCGTCGGGATTCAACCCTTCTTCTCTTTCTGGCGGGTGAGGGTAATGTGAATAGCTGGATTCTCGTACAAATTCTCGCACAGGGGAGAGCCTATGTGTAGGAATCTGCACAGCGGAACTGCGCTTTCATTTGTTATCTTCTTCCCCGACGAAAGTGATCCTCGAGACCTGTTTGTGTCTGTGTCTGTTTTTCGTTCTCTTTCGTTGATGTCCCTTCTTCATCGATCGGTTAAGTCTGGGCACAAGTCATCGTTGTGAGCTGCGGTAGTCCTACAACTCCGTTTGCTGTTGTCGTCTTCTTTGGGTTGGAAAAGTAAATGAGTATTTTCTGTCTGTCTATTTGTGTATTTTAGTGTGTATTCAGAATTGTGAGAAATGTGTACAAAAAGACCCTACCTTTTCAAACTAAAGAAATGGGTACAAAAAGACCCTATCTTTTCAAACTAAAGAAATGTGTGTATGCACACATAGAGTAAAAAATAATAGTTAAAAAAAACATGTTCAACCAAACATCAAAATTGGTTTGACTATACAAATTGTGCAATTCAGTTTCAAAGGATCTTGAGTATAGAAATCTATCTATCAATAACCTTGGGTAGCACTTGAGAATGTGGAGAAAAGATAGTTTTGCCACCACCCAAGGTTAAGGGAAGAAATTAAATTCCCCCTTTTAATCTTCTGCCATAATATTTCAATAGATTGAGTCTAAGCTTAATCCCCAACCATATGCTATTGTCCAATTTCATTGTCTTATTGGATTAGTTCTAAATCCAGATATTAAGTTTTTGCTCCTTCACATATCTGTATCTTATTCTTTTAGCAACTTCAAGTGTATTGCTAATGCTAAGTGGATTGTCACATGGCAAAATATGTTATATTAAATGTTGTATGTAAGTCTACTTAAAACAAAAAATAACATGTAAAAATAAGTTTTAATGCTTCAAATGTTATGCAATAGTATTACATCTATTAAAAAAAATCACAAATGAAAGAATTAGACTTAGATTGTATGAATCTATTTGTTATATATATATATATATATATATATATATGCTTAGCATTAAATAATAAATTTTGTATACTTATTTTTACAAGTAGAAAGAATTTCAAAAATAAGTCTATTACTTTTGATCATATATTATTTTTTGTATAATTATCAATAGAATTTCGTTCCGAAGAAGTTCAAAAAACAATGAATCCCTTGCCAAAGTTGTAATCAGATAATGAAGATTGTATCTTTTTTGTAGTATGACTTATTTTTTATTATACTAAATATAATATAAAAATATAAAGATTGTACATCAATCTATGATATCGATTAAATTAGAAGAAAAAATAAATTGAATTTACATGTATTATTTAGATTAAATAAATTGGTAGTATCTACATTGGAAAACGTACTTATAAATTAACAAGTTTTTAAGGAACACAAAAATAAAAATGCATATTTAAATTAAAGTCAAGATATATTTTTTAAATATATTTTTTCTAATTTCTTAAGGAAATCAGAAAATATAAAAACATGACAAAGAGGATATTATGTTATAAATATAAAAATAATTCAAAAAGTGTTAGTTTCTAAGAGATGAAAAAATCTAAGTTTATTTTTTTTAAAGATTTTTATACTTTAATATTATCTAGTATACTTAATTTAAAAATAATTTAACATACGTCTTATTTATTCTAAAAATTGAGATTCAATAGTAGACAACGATGCATTTAAAATGGAATATTAATCCTTATACTATTCATAGACTTTATGTTGGGAACAAATAATTTCATGAACTACTCATTAATATTGGTGGTATTTGAAAATAGCACAACTGAATGAAAATTTCACGGAATTTTATTTAAATACATAAAATTAATATTAAAAATACAACACTTATTCTAAATAGTATATCTTGACATAGAGCAGTACTGTCAAGCAAAGTAGTTTTAAATATACCATCGACATTCATCCATAGAAAATTCGTCCAGAACATACATTCATCCAACGCACAGAACTTCTCCCCTAGTTAACGCCAAAGACGTCACGAATTAAATGCACTTCGTGCCGTCATGGCTAGTCCCAGCGGTCAGTGAGATGCTCAGGAAGCCTCAGGCGAACCAGAAGCATGTTGGAATTTTTGATAAATTTTTTTAAAGATAATTCTTTTTAAAGATAATTCCAACAATTCCAACAATTTTTAAAGATCATTTTTTTTTTAAGTTCATCAACAAACGCAGATAATTCCAGCCGGGTTAATGTCGCAACCTTCGTATGAAAATTGCTGCCCATTGTTTTCACTGTCATATGGGCCAGACTGGAGGGATTCAAGACGTGAAACGTGAAGCTCTTGCAGGAAATTCTTCCTCGTGGTGCTGAGCGAGGTTTCTGTGGAAGAGTGGGGGTACGACACATCAGTGTCCGATTGCTTTGAAGCTTTGATTATGACCCCCTAAAAATCCTACAAAATGGCTGGGCTTTTGAACCAACAGCTGAAGCTTTGTAGCTAGAATGGTATCTGTAATAGGACCAAAAGGTTTCATTACGTTATCTATGGATTCATCATATCCTATGGACCCTGACCGGCTTGTGTTTCCTACTCTGTTTACTGCAGCTATTTCCTCAATTGTAAGTACTACACGTTAATTTGTGAATTGATCACTTGCATACATGCTTTTAAATTCGTGGAAAATCAGCCAAAACACTTTCTGAAGAGGTTACACATCCCTTGGGAGCCCGCTGGTGGGTCTCGTTCTGGTTGCTTTCAGAGTGACCATGTCGACAAACACACACAAAAAACTTCATTGCCATCCGCATTTGCTTTTCACACATGATCCAGGAAATCGTGTTGTTAGTATGTTGACGATTTCGTTAGATCGTGTGTGCACAGCTTTGGAAGATAGTGGGCTTCGACCTCAAGCCGACGTGGAATTCCTCTATCTATGGAGGGATAATGTTTGGGTACGTTTGTTACGACCACACACATTATTACCTTCACTTTGCGGCAGTGTACTCAAGTTTCCTGTACAAGATGAAGGTAAGATGGTGCAAATTCTTACACTTTCTGTTCCTTACAGCTTTGAATTACTTCAACACGTTCACAGTAATTGACGCACCTCATTGCCCCCATGATTCCGATAAATTAAAACAAAACAAAACGATGTTATCAATTGAGGCTCCATGGAATGCCCATGGTTCGTGGCTGCGCGGTTTCGAGTCGCCGGACTTGTCCCTCCAGCGTGCATTCTGTTTAATTTTGCAGAAAGAGCATTTAAATCACCACTTTAAGAATGGGATGCACCACTACGGCTTCGGTGTGACGAGCTCTTTCTGGGTCACAGTGTTCGGAACGCTGCCTCCGGCCAAGGATACTCACAAAGGTTCAATGATTACCAGCCAGACTGTGATGGAATCCATCTCTCCAACAACAAAGGTTCACTCGACAACACTAATGCGCAAAAAAGAGAGTGGCCGTGACTGAAAGATCACACACACCTCAAATAAGTTCTACTGCTCGCTCTGGAATCAGACCCATTCAGAATATTCCTCCACTAGAGGTCGCCTGAAGCCTTACCGCCACTTTAATCATTAGATGAAATATTCGAGCTTTTCTCTTGCCTAGGGGCCTAGTAAAAAAAACAGATGCTGTAGAAAGTATATTTTGAATACTAAAAAAAAAAAAAAAAAAAAAAAAAAAACACCAACTCTGGCTTGGATTGCGGTGTCGCTCGAAGAGCCCTGGCCTTGGAATCCTTGCCGTTAGAGAAGGAAACGCATTTTTTGAAAAAAAATATACGAACAGCCTTTCGTTCAATTCACGGCATGTCTGCTTCTGCATTTGAATACTCTGCTCGGATCTCGAAATCCCGACGCTTCTTCGGATCCACATGAGTCAACAAATCTCTCCCGTTTATCCCCCTTCCCCACCTAAAAGAGTGACCAGTCCTGCTTTTAAAGGTCAATAGTCATTTTCTGCAGAACAAGCACTTCAATCACCTCGAGAATTAACTCTAATACACCATAATGAACAAAAAGATTCACAAGTAAAAAATAACTAATGGCTCTGAAGGGTTTAATTTAAAGTACGTTAAAATTCGACTGCAACATGACCTTGTGAAACCGCCACGCCTTGCAAAGATTCCATTCAAGGTTCCCCAGGGGCTACATGACGTTCCCCGGTGAGGAGCAGGCGCACTCTGAGCTTGAGGAACGGACACGACCCCTGCAATGATATTTCAAATCCGTGGGAGAGAAAAACGCGGGAAACGGCGAAACATTCGTTCGCAAGCGCGGGCGGGTGTCGAAAGTGGGGCAGGTAGGGCCGTTGTGCAGTGAGAGGAGAGACTGCCCGCTTCTTGAGGGCGACGGAAGAACAGTCGAACCACCGAGCAGATCCGCACCCGCCATCGTCTTCACACAACTGAGAGGCCCCTCCACTTGGAAGCAGGTCAAGTCAAGAGATCCACGGAACAACGTTTGCTCTAAGTCTCCAACCCTCTCACTCGGTCTCGGAACTAACCAAGAATGGCCGCGGCGGCTCACACTGAATAACAGCAAATTCCACGTATTGTTTAATTTATAGATATTTTGATTTTGATTTTGTTTTGTTTTGTCTATTTTTTTTTTTTTTTCTCGCTCCGACTCGGCTACGCGTTGGCCGCAAGGTGTGAACAGGCCAGCGCTCGGAAGGCGCGGGAGGGCCTGCTGGTTCTTTATATGCCAGTTAGGAGGTTGGTTGGCGAACAGAACCATTGCAGTAACCTCGAGCTCCTTTGCCTTCTCGCTCATCTCTCGCACCGTCTTGCTCTTGCGTCTGCGTTGCCTACATCTTGCCCGTATCTCAAGGTACTGGAGATTTCCCTCTCTCAATTCTGGTATGTACTGTGAGCCTCGATTTCTAAATAGTTCCATCCTTTTCCCCTAATATTTTTGGTTGTTGTGTCTGTTTGTCTTGCGTGCTGCGGAGGAATGGGAACTTGAGTGAGTGTGTGTGTGTATGGGGAAGGTTTCGTTTTTCTTTCAAGTTGCTCGAAGTTGAGAAGCGCTGAGGATTAAGATCTGCATCTGCAAACTGAGGTTTAGGTTGTCATCTGCTTATCTATTTGTTTGTAAATTTCTTTCTCTCCCGTTGTATGGTTCACTTTCTTTCCAACAGAAGGTGTGACAAGAGTCTGTCGATTGTTAGGCCTAGTTTAGGCCATGGGCTGTGGATTGTAAGTTTTTGGTAAGTTAACAAGCTTCGCAACGAATGCCTCCCCGTATTCTCTTTCGTTTTGCAGATTATCTTCTAGATACATCACGGATCAGACACCTGAGAAGTATATTTTACTCATTCGTTCTCCTTGATTGGGCCTTTCTTCTTGAAAGGGATTTTGTGTGATCCGTTGAAACTGAGCATTAGGTCGGTGTATCTGTACATCGTGTGATCACATGCCATTACATTTCGTTACGTCTCTTTAGTATGGTTTTAGAAATTTGAACTGGCCCTGCAGATCCTGAATATCGGAATCGGGGGGCTTTTAAGCATGTTTGGTTTGCCGTTGGTTCCAAAGTTGATAGTGCTTTGTCTCCTCAGTCCTGCAGTGAAGTGAGATATTGTGGCTGATCTGTGATGTTTGTTTGCAGTTAAGCAGTTTCTTATCACCAGTTCAAACGATGGCTTCCACAAGCGTTTTGAGGTCCGTTGTAGTCATCTTCGCAGTTGCGTCTAGTTTGGTAGCAATGGCCAATGCACAGGCTGCCTCTCCGTCACCTGCACCTGACAGTGCTGGTAACTTATCGATTGTGCCTTCTATTGTAGCACCCGTAATGGGGATGGTTATTACGTTCTTCGCGAGCCGCATGCTTTGGTAAGCATGCTGAATGTCTGGCATCTCGAATGGGAAGTTACACCCAAGCTATGGAGAATAATTTTGTAATGTAATTCAGGTTTCGGCAAAGGTCGGTGCCATAGAAATTGTTTTGTACGGCACAGGACCTATGAAGCCATGTTAGACCAAATTTTTTGCTTGCTTCACAAGGCGTGTCATTTGTGCTCGGTTCTTTCAGAACAGAAATACCGTGTACAGACTTTTATAACCTTGATGGAGGCATAGCGAGTAGATTTCGAGTCCTCGGTGGAAAGCTTAGTCAACTGATTTGTTATTTGGCTTTTCGTAAATTTGGACGTTTCTGGTGAATAACATTATTTTCATTCTATTCATTTCGGATTGTAGCAATTTTATCTCCGCATACTATTTAAGAAATTGCTTACTCTACGTGCATGGAGCTTTACGATCAGATTGTTAACATCATCACTTGCAAAAATCTTTCACCGCAAACTGTGTTTTAGTGCCACAAAGTAATGTCAGTGAATATCTTCTACAGCCGTTATGAACCAATTACTGCTCGAACTTTACTCATCGCTGGGTACCTTGTCTTGCAAATTACATCTGAACGCTTCTGTCGATTATGAAGCATGTGCATGGGAAACCTCGGAGTGACCCTTCAAGTATGGGCTATCTGAGTATGTCACAATTTGACACTAGCATTTGACTTACTATTCGGATAGTGATCGGTCAGATGGTAACGCATGCATTACAAGAATCGCAGCACATCGTTTGCTTCCCGAAACCGTGTTCTCATCGTTTGCTTCCCGAAAAGACAATTTTACCCTTCCGTTTTCTAACAATCATGTATCTGAACAAAGCAATCCAACCTTGCCTGACCATGTGTGATCATCGCTTAGTGACGATGTTGCAGTTGCAACGTAGATATCGTCCACAAATTGTTCACTCGTCTCTGTGAACCACTAATTGAATGCAGTGCTTGGCGTGAACAAAACGAATCTGTCATTAGATTTCAAGCTGTGCCATGATCCATGACCTCTCTTTCAACTGTCAACTTCGTGCAATTAGATGAGTGGACTTCAGCTATACCATCATCTGGTGAATTGCTGTAATCTCTCTGTTTCCAGACTCAGTGAGACGCAGCATCGCTGAGTGTTTATTGACATAGCTGGAAAAGACAGGGCTCCATCATGATATGACAAGTCATGCACCATGTTCTCATCAAATGACAGAGGTATCATGGAAAGTTTCACTTGCCTGGAGCATTCCTGCAATTATCCTGCACCACTTTAAAAAATCCCCTGTCATCTATTTTTATACATTCGATTCCAGAAAAATCGATAAGTAATGGTGTCTGTTAATGTGTAGCCCCTTTTACAAAACTTTGATTCGTAACTAGGGGCAAGGATTCGCGCACACTAATTCATTGCGAGTTTAATTTCCCTCAACATTTCTTGAAAAGGACTATATTGTATTATCGGTAGGACCTCTTAACAGACATAATTTCTCTTGAGACTAGCGCATCGTCAAAGCTCGCTTGACGTGTACTCCGCACTCGGTCAGTGTCTGTGCTACTGGTGGAAGGTTCTCTCCGACATGGTAAACTGCTCATCCTTTGCGTTTCAATGACGGACTTGGTTTTACGTTAAACGGAAGTTTCGGGCAGTTCGTACGCTTGGCAGACGTTGCCCGAAATCTCCTACAAGCGCTTGCGAGTCAACAAAATCGCACGCATTCCTGGAATCTGCATATGTACAGTTCATTACAATCTGAGGCAGGTAGCGGTATGCGAGTGGGCGGCTGTTCAAGTCGGTTGTCTTCACGTTGACGTTAGCTTTAGGGTTGATCGATAACAACTCAGTGAAAGGAGGATGAAAGCGCGGGGTGTAAGCAAAAGCAATCCTCGCTAATCTTCTGCCCGTGGAAACTGCCACCGTATCGGCTTCCTGAAGCAGGCTCGTTAGAAATTTGTTCCCTTGCTCCAGGTCATTACTCAATCGCCTCCCTCGCCTTTCTCGCCTCGTGCTCTGCCTCTGTTTACGCCTGTCATCCTGTTCGTGTTGCTCATCACATCCCAGATTGTTGCCTTCGATCCTGCCATCCCACGCCACAATTCATAAACTTTTCTTGAAGACCTTGCGCCGCTGTTGTATGTTCAGTGTTTTTTCTGTTGTCGTAAATTTGCTCATGCTGTCCGTTTGCATTGCATTTGATTCAATTTTATCAGAGCCCGCGATATTTTGATTGCCTTGTGCACTTTTTTTTCGCAAAGATACGGTTCAGATTGCTTTTTCTCACAGAACTCTTGTTCTTTCCTTATTCTTGCTACGCGTGAATTGTTTTCACTTCGTCGGATTTAGTGTTCTCAGATTTTAAGAATTTTTTCGATCTTTTGACTAGGAGGGTCCATACCTCAATTCCTTGATTGTTTGGTTTGCTGTCACAATTTTGCCTAGATGAACTGAAATTGATAACTTTGGGAGGGAAGATACCTAGTACTTTCGCTCGGGATACCTAGTACTTTGCTTCCGACGGAACACTCTATGGCCTCACAAATGAAAGCATCAGTTTCCGCAGAAGATTTTTCTGGGAAGCTTGTATCTTGTAACAACCCTCCTGTTGGGTGAAGTTTCCATTCTGCTGACAAGGTCGGCAGGTTTATATCACGTTTCCAGAATGCAATGGAAGCTGAGCCGAGAGTCTGCGCTACAAACTAATTGCAGGAGCATTTCTCCATGGAGTGAAGACGCAATGCAGAAATATTGCTCAAAATGTCTGTCTAGCAGGGTAATTCTTAACGTTTTGATTCCACATGGGAAACTTGCCAGCTCCATCCTTGATGTCCAAAGCTCCAAGCAAATTTTTCTTCGCATGCTTCGTCTTCAACATCCATCACGAAGACATGTACTAAAATTCTCTTTGGAAATGTGGATGTCATGCGCCGATACACGTGTTTTCAGACTCTTAATAGCCAGAAAAAGTAACTACAACGATTCGAAACAAGTTACCATGGAGAACAACTGCTGCATACGTAAGTGAGACGCTAGAAGACAGCTGATATTCCACCTAAGTCGCCTGACAGTGACTTGTCAATGTTGGAGAAAACTCAGTTTCATTGGTGACAATCATGGAACTACAATGCCACCAAAGCATATTATCCGTCGTTCACAACTTGAACACAGCCCCAATTGCTGGCCCTCCTCAAGAAACTGAAATAAGTTCCTTTTAGGGAAGTTGGGCACACGACGTGTCAGACTCTTAAAGCTTGCAGCAGACGGCTCTGATAGTTTCAAGAGTAATGGGGCTTTTAATGCGTCCACTCACCAGTCTTATCTGGAATAACGCCTTTATAACTACAAAGAATCTATGTTCATGGAGACGACCACTAGCAATTCCCAGAATTCACAAGGAGCACTGATTCATAGTGTCAAACAAGGTTTGCATGTCATTGTCATAATTGACATACAAGTTTAAAGGTGCCGGTTAATAAACAAGACAATTTCGAACCAACTTATCAGATTGGTTAAAAAATAGGTTGGAAATTAGATAGCCAACTCATGAACATAGCGGCACCAATAGGGCCACAACGGAAATTGTTAATGAGAAAAATATGTTAGTCTGAATAATGTGTCAGTCTTAGTACTGCCCCTAGAAAAAAGGTTAGAAACAGTGAAGGTAAAATAGACGACGACATATCTTGTGTCTAGATCAACAGAATGTAGTCGTTGATACTATAAGACTATTCCTTCATATCTTTGCTAGAGATGGTCCAAAGCTCTCTAGTAACTTTCGACTATTGTAGTTCTCATACTGCTTCTCATCCTCGTAGTCTTGCAGCAGCTTTACATCTTCAAAGGCCTGTTGCAATCTCCCGTCCTCAAAATCTCCCATGTTCCTATCCTCGTACACTCCTAAGAGCTTCCGAACCTCATTGGCAAGCTCAATTATGTATTCGTCTTCACAGCCTGCAGCAATTGTGCACAATCATCGTCGCCTTCAACATTTTGAAAACCAAGTGATGTAAGGTATAGAACGATAGAAAACCATCTCTACACTCTGATAGACATCTGGACTTGTAATCTTAGGAGACACAATCTAGCTTGAAGCCAAAAATACTCCAAGTGATCTCTAGACCAACTACTTCCAAAGTCACAACGCACACAAAGTAGAGCTGAACAGAAGCGGTTTTCCTAAAAGCAGAGCCTCACTTATATGTATGACCATCACATTCAAACTATTTGTCGAAAGTCAACTTGGAGTATCTGTTCTTAGAAACAATGAGAAAGTATTTTACCAATTCCGTAAAGTGCTTCTTCTAAGCGGAACAAATACTCGTAGTTTGGGCCTGCAGGACCTCTGGCAGTTGCAATTTGGCTGCCATTTTCAAAAGACATAGTAAGAATATGCACAAGAAACAATGCGAATCACCATTTTTAAATACAGAAATACCGATGTGTGCAACTACCCTCGCCTTGTAAAAATGCTACAGTGCCACAGCTCAAATAGAAAAGCATAAACAAGATAAAAACAAACTCCTCACCTAGCCATGTTCTGGAGGGGAGCTGGCCCTAAGTAGTATCGATTTTTCGATCTGTTTGGAGATCCAATGTACACCAAGACCCCTGTGATTACCGGCTCTTCTGGCGACTCTTCCTGTAATATTATATAATAACCATTGTCAAGGGCATCAAATTTTATATAATGCAAAAGGAAGAGGGAGGAATAATGTCGCAAATCTCAATTCTTCTGGATGATCACAGAAGTTTGGCCACACGAGACAATCCAGATGTAGAACTTACGGTGAAGAAGTCAACAAATGTACGCAAGTCGTACTCAAACTCTCGTAGCTCCAAATACTGTGCAAAAAGAACTGAATCATCAGGACCTCATGACTATTGTGTTCAACTTTGTAAGTTGCGCAATCCAAATCACATTCCTCATTAGAGGTAATAATCATGAGCTTACAGAGAGCACTAGCTGTTCGGCATCATAGCCTGATACTCGGTACGCACAGCCCGCCACATGTGCACCTTCTTCGGGCTCAAGTGTAACCGTCCGTCCTGGGTAGTCGGGAGTTCCTCGGTGATCAGTACTGGCTGGTAAACCACAGCAAAAAGGCATTAGAAGCTGCTCGGAATAGATTTCCTGGACGGTCCGTGTCATAGTTCTGACAGAAGGGAATAGCCAGTGACCCTAGTCTACTGAATAGAGTCGGCTCCCAGAACATTCAGGAGGTGGAAAGTGTGCATAAACTGGACGCTTGACGGAATCACGAGGATACTCTGATGGCGATTATACTCCAACACATTGTTGTTCCCAAACTACCTTGATTGAATACACGTGTGTAGCCTTTGATGAACCCTACCACACGTTCGTCATAATCAAAACCCGCCTTCCAAATCAGAGAACCATATCCAAAAACCCAAAGCACCATACTTCTGGACCTGTTTCAAATCCGCAATGTCGAGAACATCAGAGCTGTAAAAGCAAACTATTGCTGAAGAGACATTGAACGCGTGTAACAAGGTAATAGAAATAATGCACCAGTAACGCGAAAATCTTCAAGCACCTTCATTAACCAATCTCCACACAATGTCTTTCATACGCACGAGGATTTCTAAAGCCAGTTGCAAAGAATGAATGCGAGTAAGAAACAAACGGCAGGCACGACTACTCCTACCAGTAATACAATGTGCATGCGTTTTGGCCTTAGCTCTCGCGGTGCACTTACGTGAGCTCAGCACGAAGTTGAGTCAAAATGTGCAGGATCAACTCATAGAAACGACATTTTACCTGCTGTTGGACTTGGTAGCTTTCAATACCCTACTAAGTCGTGAACGCTTTACTGAGAACCAAAATTGCGCTCCAGACTGTAATTGTAGCCAGGAATACTTCCAAGCAGCACTGCAGTAGGAATCAATGCCTGAAGGATGCCGCACAGATAGAGAACGATGTCTGTGGTTTTCCTTTACTGAACCCAATTCGCTACTTACAGCCTGATGACTATGCTCCTGCACTTCACAGCAACTCACTCTAAGGGGTGAACTTCAGAGAATCAGCACGACAGAATCAGCTGTGGACACACGCGCAGTGATCAGATCTACTGTTTTGATGGCCTCGAGGTTAACGAGCAGACTGCGATACTTTGCGCGAAAGAAAGCGCTCAAAGTCCTACGACTAATATCTCTTTCTCAATTGCGGGCTGCGTGAATGATTTCAATGCTTCTCTGCAAGTGATTATCTCAGCACGGTTAAAGATATGACCAGTGAGAGTGACAGACGAGTGGCAGAGTGAGCAGCCGATACACAATAGAAACTGGGAATGTAAGCCGGGCTTTTAAGGCCGAGGCTTTGGAAATACTACCAAAAATATGTCATGCTATACCGTAGGAGGTGGGTACTATTTGGCCAGCCTTCTATTTACTCCACCGTGCGGTACAGCATGCAAAACCTGCCGTCAACATGGCATTCTCAACAGACTACTCTGCGGTTGCGCCCGACAGGACCAGCCACCCAGATTGGAAGACCACATGTGAAAAAACAAAAACAGCGCCTAAAAGATATCACAATGCCTTCTTGACAGGCAACTACGATCTTTTCGACTCCCACCAGATCAATTAATTTGAATAAAACCCCCTTGTTTCCTTACCATGCGCAGCCAAAAGAATACGAGTTAACAAAGACGAGAGTTCGGCACTAGCTCTGCAGTCCACCAGCAACTCCCACATCGGGATTCGCATCCTCTCACGCGATTTTGAAACACGACAAGGAATACGATCTTGCTCATGTTGTCGACGAAATGCGGACGAAATTATCTCTTCTGGACGATGAATGTCAGAAGGAATGAAGAATATTCAGGACAACGAGAAGATTCGAATGAGATCCACTGCGCGAATCGGGAAGCCTGACTCGCTCAGTCTCTTCAAGGTGACTTACTATTGGTCTCCTCGTGCGTATCCCACGCCACCTTCCCTTTGAAGACTAGGTGGATGGATGGCTGGACGACAAAGACATCTCTACAGATTCTTCAAAAATCAATTTCATGTGTTGCATTTTGATAATAAATACATCATTTCTAGAAAAAATTGAATTCCACAGTGAAGAGCACAGATCTGAATGGTGCAATGCTGCAAGGCGTGGGCATGAGGACCATCAATTTTCATGTGGCCACCATAGACTTACTAGATTTTGCCCAACAGTCAGCCTCCAGTTACACAACTCTAGCATCAAACTCCTACAAGTACACTGCCAAGATGGATCCTATATCCACATTTTGTCGTAATATTTTACAAAGAAAAGAAAAACATATTCTTAGTAATACTCTTGTGAAAGTATACATTAAGCATGATTTACACACTTATTCATTTATCATAAATCCGGAAACAAATGAAGAATAAAAATACTATTGAATAAATATAAAAAATAAAACGATATTCTAGAGCTATCGATCCAAATAACTTGCCTTCCAGATTGCTTATTTCTTTTTTCACAAGGATCTCAATTGGGGCACGTGCTATCCTAGTCAGTCTGCTCACTTTAAGAAAAAAACCCACCGCAGTGACTGCATGGTTGTGAGCAAGATCAGGCATCACCACGGAACCAGAAAAACTACGCTGCCCGAGATACGGGGCAGTCATACTTTCATCGATGCACAGATCGCCTGTAGTTGTCTTTCGACAACGTCTTTCGACAACGTCTTTCACGTGAAACTCTCTGAAAGCGTCAGTTCTCTGATTTTTACCCAGAGAAGAGACAAACAGAGAGAGAGAGAGAGAGAGAGAGAGAGAGCGAGATTGTGCGCGGGAGCAAGAGAACACTGGAAAATGAAGGCTGCACCTCCACCACAGGCCCGAACCGGCAACGGTCCTGACAGCTGAATGAGAATCACCGCATGGTTAAAATTAACGCAAGTCGCGCTGGAGAGTACAATTCTACGATGCTGCCGACGGCTGCTGATCAAGGGATACGGAGGTACCGATGCACCTGGGTTGTTGTCGCGGCGAGGTTCATTGGGTGCTGGCCTTGTGATCAGAGATCGGGCTGCAGGCGGTCTTCGCTAGCGAGCAATCGGGGTCCGGAACCACGTCCAGGGGGGCTGAACGCGAGGATCGTCAATTGTGCAAGCATCGGTTCCATCTTCCCATCACGGCGGTGAGGCGCGGCGTGATCGTGCAGGTTTCGACAGCCCTGCGACAATGCCACGTGGTATGGAAGTGGCGGAGTGGAGGTGGTGGCGACGAGCAATTCGTTGCGTCTCCCCGCGGGTGTGTGTGTGTGTGTGAAGGGGGGGCTAAAACGAAAGATATCCGTTTCTTTCGGTTTAAAAGAATTCGTTTCCGGTGATCGGGAGTAGTTGCGGAGCTTCCCTTGCGGCTTGTCACATACCCTGCAATTCATACAAGCTGCCAAGTCAATTACTGACATGTAAAGTAGTAAGTGACCTGTAATAAGAACTTATTTTGCGATTATTTTTGAATTTTTTATTCAAATAAAATATATGCACATTTAATAAAAGCCAATTAGCTTTTATAATATCATGATTGTTGAATGAAACCACAAGATACAAATTTGGTTTAACCATTGGTCTGAAATAACTAATCAAGGGGTTGAAAGCCCCAATCGCTGTATCAAAGGCCATGTACCAAGGGGACTATTCTTTAGACAAGATCTGCTTTGATTTGCAATTTTTGTAATTTTTGTAAAGTGTTATCTCTCAAGAAATGAGCTTGTTTGCATAAGCCATGTAAAAGTGCCAACATTCAAATCTCTCAATTAGTACAATTGTAGCATATATAATAAATAAGGTATAATTGAATGTAAAAAGATTTGGATAGAGCTATAAAAGTTAAAAATAAAATACATAAAAAAAATAAAAGAGATAAAATATGATTTTAGAATTAAGACTTCTATACTAAAAAATTTGAACACACTATTTGATGGTTAATTATTACGTGGATTTAAAAATGAGATTATTAAAAAAAATAATATAATAAAATAGAGGTACAAGAGCTAGAAATTTGAATAGGCACCTACTGATAAGACATCATATCATATTCAATAAGGCACATATATTTGTAATTAATTGATAGATTAGAAAATTGATTAATAAATTAGCCATGTGTCATACGTGTTAGTAGTTTATAAAACAAGTGAATTATGTGATATATATATATATATATATATATATATATATATATATATAGAAAATTTACCTTATAAGTTAACACATGTGTCTAGCAAAATCAACATATGTTAGAAGTCATAAAGAATATTTCTACATAGCTCTTACTTAGATAGTATATATAAAAACAAAAGTGAAGCCTTCTTCACTCTTTTCAATGCCTTTTTAGTTCTTAGTCTTGTTTCAAGACTTTTTAGTCTTTTAGTCTTTAAAAGAAGTCATTTTAGTTTAATATTTGAGTAATATAAGAGTGTCTTGATCTTTCTATTCTTGAAGATTCATATCTTTGATAGATATTTATACAATAGAGGTCTTAGGAATGAAGTCAAGTATTCTTTTTTAAGACCCCTCTAAGTCTAGATTTAAATACTAACTCTAAAACTAGTAATTATATATGTATATGTCTATATATATATATATATATATATATATATATATATATGTAGATAAAATTTTAATTTTAATACAAAAAGTTATAATTTCTATTTTAAATTTTATGGATGCATAATAAATAAAATAATTAAATTCATTCCATGCAAATACTTTTGTATCAATGAAGATTTGTCATTCTTCATCTTGGTTTTGATAGATGTCATCAATAAAAAGCTTCAACTTTCTTTATTACATTTACAAGATTTTTTGTTGACTTCCATATTCATTTACTAATATCATATTTGTACTAATGAAGAAGATATTTCAACCTATTTAGGCATCACCTTGAATCTAAGACTTCTTCTATCTTAAATCCTTGATTATTATCTATTTTTATAGGAAGAGGTGCCATATGTCTTCTTTCCAAAATATTCACTATCTCAAAAAGATGATTTTTTAAATCTTTTGCTACAAGATTATCAACTTTTGAAAATTCAAAAATATCAAGTTGTAGATAATAATCATAATTGGTAAAAAAAAATATATTTATTGAGTAGAAGAATGTACTAAATTATTGTATGTAAACTCTACCAATGGCAAAAGAGTTATCTAATCATCTTGATGATAGTTGATGGTATACCTCAAATATTACTCTAAAATTTGATTCACCCATTTTATTTGTCTATTAATTTGAAGATGAAAGGTCAAAGGTAGTTTCATATCTATCTTTAATATCTTAAAAAAGTTTTTTAAAAATCTTGATACAAATTGTGTCCTTCTATTTAATATAATATCTTTTTATAATCCATAATAGTGATAGATATTATCAAGGAAAAAATTAGCTATTTTTTTTACATGAAATAAATTTTGTACATTGTATAAAATGTGACATTTTGATGAAGCAATCTACAATCATAAATATAGAGTCATATGAACTTTAACTTTGAAGATCCATAATAAAATCCATAGGAATAGAAGACTATGGTTGTTTTGATATTAGCAATGGTTGGAGAAATCTATAGAATTAATGACAAAGAATTTTTAATCTTAAAAAAATGTCATATAGCTATATAAAGTTTTTCATATCTTTTTATATTTGCGGCCACCAAAAATCTATCAATATAAGTTTCAAAGTCTAAATATATCTAAAATATTTTATTTCTAAAAAGTTTTAATGTGCTTTAAAAATATATAAACGTGCTTCTCCTTTTTGAATATATAGACAATCTTTGAAATAAAGTAGGTTATTTTTGAACTTAGACTTGGAAGTATCATAAAACTTAAAAGAAGTATTCTTGATATCATGAACAAGAGGATTAGAGAACATCCTTGATTGAATTTTCTTGATAAAAGTTGAATCAATAGTCAATATTTTTTTATTGCTTAAAAATAAAATTACTCAAGTTTTAAGATGATTGTTCCTTTGTTGATTAAAAGTTGCATCTCCTTCTTTTGGTGCAAGATAAGAATGTCTAAAAAATAAGTGTGATAAACCTTGTTATTTTTCAAGTTAATATATGATCTTAAAATCAAATCTTGATAATGAAATGCTTCAATAAGTTTGGAAAAGATTCAACATCTGGGCTAACATAAAGTACTTGAGGTTCTTTTGATCTATATACATAGTAACTGGATTAGAAGTGCTATCATGATGGAACATATTTAATAAGTAAAAGAGTGAAAAAAATATTATATTTTAAAAGATCTTAGTTCAAAATATTATAGCAAATCATTTTAGAAATATAAATAATAGTAAAATAGTACTAAATTAAAATTTCAAATACTATTTTTTTACAAAGTGGGCTTCTACTTACTTTATAGGGCCATAAATAAGGAAAAACAAGGTAGATTAGAAAAATAAAGAATTGATATTCAAAATAAACTAATTATTAACCTAGGTCAAAATTAGACCTCAAGGTACAAAATTGCACACTTTATTATGGACACAAAATACAGACTTGAAATCAAACAA